TTCTTTTATAGATATCGATTGACTTCACGGATGGCGTAGTGGTTTAAGCAGTCGCCACGCCGCCTCCTAAAACGCTGAGTGTTGTGGGTTCGATCCCCACATGGGACGACACTTTGTGTGATACACAAATTGACGTTCTGAGTCTGGGTGTTGTTTGTGTCCGTTTCATGTATGTTTGTAAAGTCCCCCGCGACACAGGGTATCTTCCTAGTGCGGGAGTTGTCTTTAAAAAAAAAAAGATTACACCCAGACACAGAACAAACGATTTTGCTGATCAGAATTATTTCTCATGGATAGGCAATGATTTTTTTAAATTAATTATTGTTTATTGAATATAATACGCTTGACATTTTTAATCTAATTTTTAGTATATAGTTATTTTTTAAATATTATTTTTAGCCGTGTGGTGACGGATTAAGAATACAGAGTGTCACCATCCCTTTTTTATCCCGAGGGTGTCGTAAGAGCCGACTAGGAGTAAACTACGTAGGACACCAGCACTGTAAAGAGAAGGAAATGATGATGATGATGATTCATCGTGATGAATAGTATATATTAGAAGGTCATTTCGATTGTATAAACGTGTAAACTACTGGCTGTTTCCGCGCGATCTATAAATGGCTACCTGTTCTGTTTAACGTCTGTTATTAACATAGAGATATAACCTTGACAGAACAAGAGCCCCAATCTTGCAATATAGGCAACGAGAGAGATGGATCATAGATAGTTCCCTCTATCTCTTTCTAGTCGTGGTTGGCAGCTTAGTTAAACAGAGACAGAGGGAAATATCGGCATCCATCTCTCTCGTTCCCTGTATCGCTCCACTTACGAGTACAAGCAGCTGTACCCCGTGTTCTCTCTATGCTTATATTTCTATGGTTAGTTTCCTATGTTTATATTGTCAGATTAAAAAATACATCAGTTTGAATGCAAGTTGACCTTATTTTCTGTAAGTGATGATTTGCGACTGAATTTTTACACGAACCCGCGGGAACAATCATTATCATCAACGACAGCCTTTGATAGTCCAATGCTGGACATAAGCCTCTCCTTAGAAAGGAGGTTTTGTCCTACTATACCACGCTAGCCAGACGGGTTGATATTGGGGTTGTATCAAGTTTTCCTTCTCTTTGCAGTGCTGTTGTCCTGCGTAGTTTGCTACCTTAGTCGCCTCTTACGACACCCACGGGATGAATACGGGTGGGGAAACTCCGTATTCTTAATCCGTCACCACACGGATGATATAAATAACATCCCTATTTTCACTTTCTGATCATTTTCATTCTAAATTTAATGGAATTTTCCGGAAAATAGACATTCTGTGTTTGAAACAGTAAATTTTATCTGCGAACTTTCCTTAGGCCATGTGGTTTTGTGTAATTCTATGAGAAATAACGACCATGCTATAGACTGGTAGCGATTTTATAAAAAAATATATAATTATTTTCTCATGTTCGCGTTGTTTTATGTTTCCTTTCTGATTCAATACCTATTTTTTAAAGCACACATAAGTTTCAATGATGGCGTAGTGGTTAATGTATGTCATCAACATGACCAAGTACCCGCCATAGAACACCGAAATATTTCTCACAAACATCACTTTATAGACAAAAATATACCCTATTACAAATACCAGCCAGAGATAGTACTAGAAAATAAAAAAGCTGTGTGGTGTCGTGTGACACCCGATAGGAACGAAGTTGTTACGATCGAGTAAAACTGATTAGACACGATTTTAATTACAACGCCATCTATGAAAGCGGCTATTACCTACATATTTTTCAGTTGGTTTCTAATTAAAACAATTTATACATTGGTAAAATCTCCTTGAGAAATGATGTCGAATATAATATTTTTTGCTCAACCTAAGAACATAAATTTTAATTTTACTATTCGATAGATGGCGCTGAATGACTGACAAGTGACAATTCAAAATAAAAAGTGTCGTGACCAATTTTCGTAAGATTTTTTTCCGTCTAGCCCCCTTTCACAACGCGCGATAAGGAACTTCGTTCCAATAACCTCAAAATATACTGGGACAGAACCATCATAACGGATACGACGATTCATTTCAATAGACCAGACATAACACTTCACGGCAAAGTAAATAAAATTGTAATACGCGATAGCCCTTCTCTTAGCGTGTTCAGTAAGAGAACCAGGGATTATTTTCTGTCCCTTCAATAATCAGACCCTTGGTATGTATGTATGTGTGTATATATATAAATGTATTTAAACGTATAATATATTTTACTATCCTAACTAGCTGACCCTGCATACGTTGTTTTGCTATTTACAAACTTTTTTTTTTAATTTCTTAAAATCCGTTCTTAGCTGACCTCTACTCGGTGAAAAGAATATTCCTACCAAATTTCAAGTCTTTAGCTCTAATGGTTCCAGAGATATCGTGATGAGTGACTATATACGTGGAAATCTCTTATATGTATATATATATATATATATATATATATAGATTAATGTCGGTATTTGTTTAATTTTTATGATTTTCTGTGTTAATTCCTACGTACGTATGACTGTGCTTTTAAGTTTCTCTGTTGTCCTCTATTCGGTCAAGGTTTGCTGGAAGAAAACTCAGTTTTGGGTTAAGCTCGCCTTTGTACATGGCATTTCCTTGTTACTTATATATATATGTATGTGTTCAGTGTGTACAATAAAGAATAAATAGAAATATGTCATAGACAAAGCAGTACCGGACACCCATAACGTCCAATCTACAATAGCTGAAACACTTACCAAGTATCAGGATCTAGCAATAGAATTGAAACGGCAGTGGCGAGCAGTAAACATCCATATAGTTCCAATAGTCATATCGTCAACCGGAATAATACTTAAAAGCTTTCAACGTAGCTTAGACATTTTAAAAATGCCACAACATTCCCTACACCTACTCCAGAAAGCAGTTTTCTTAAACACCTGCAGACTTACAAGGTATTTCTTACCACATCTTCAGTTTCGTCCACAAATTGTATATCATTACCTAAATTCTGATTACAATTGGCTATGGCCCGTGGAATCAGATAATTTTACCCCTTTCAGGGAGATTAACAAAATAATAATACTAATAATACCTCACACATCTCACACACGGCCCTCTGATCCCAAACTAGGCAGAGCCTGTTCTATGGTAACCAGACTGCTGATAAACATACTTATATATTTCTAAATACATACATATTTTAGATAAATTACACCCCAGACATATAAGAAATGAACGTGCTCTTCACTCTATTACTTGTCCTAGACGGGAATCGAATCTATGACTTGCGGCTTAGCGGTGGGAATAACTAACCGCTAGACAAAAACCCATTCAAAAATACATTTATACAAATACATTTTTATATAAATTATCTGTTCTGTATTGCGGCAGTTAATTCTTTGATAGCAGGGCCATGTGGCTGTACCGTAATTTTATTAGGAAACTGACACAAGTTATAAGAGATAGCGTTTTGATTGAATATTAATCGGTAAGTGAGTTCGGACCCTTATATTGGATATTGTCAAACAAAAAAATACATACATAACCTAGCAAGCATAACAATATATATGAAAGCTTGTAAAAAAACTAGCTCTCAAAAATCTGTTAAAAATTAATACGGCGTCTAGATTCCGTGTGGTGACGGATTAAGAATACAGAGTGTCACCATCCCTATTCATCCCGTGGATGTCGTTAGAGCTGACTAAGGAAGCAAATTAGGCAGGACAACAGCACTGCAAAAAAGAGAAGGAAAACGTGACACAAACTCTATACAAAGCCGTCTACCCAGCGTGGTACAGTAAGCCAAAACATCTGTTCTAAGGTAGAGGCATATGTCCAGCAGTGGACTATTTAAGACTGTTGATGTTAATCTAGTGGTTTGTGACCCTAACTGCTAAGCCAGGGGTTTGATTCTCACCCAAGACAGATAATTGTATGATGAGAACGATCATTTTATTTTGTGTCTGGGTATAATTTAATTATATCTATACAAATAAATAAAATTGGAGTGTCTGTTTGTAATATTAAAATAACCGCTTTTTACTAAATGCATATGTATGTTTACACGGAACATATACCAAAATAAAGTATTATATTCAGACACAATTGTAATAAATTGTTAATGAATTAAAAAAATAAATAAATAAATAAACATTTTTTACAATTTTTGTCTGTCTGTCTGTCTGTCTGTCTCTCTGTTTGTTCCGGGTAATCTCTGGAACGGCTGGACCGATTTCGACGGGACTTTCACTGGCAGATAGCTGATGACATAAAGAGTAACTTAGGCTACTTTTTTTAGACTAGCTTCGCCCGGCGGCGTTGCCCGCGGTTATAACAACAAACGCGGGTAACACCGCAGGTCTCAGCTAGTCTATAATATGTATGTATTTAGAAATATATAAGTATGTTTATCAGCAGACTGGTGATTGATTAGTCTTAGCAGACTGGAAATCCGAGTAGTTGTCGGAACTATAACCGGACACCTAGCCCTGAACCGACACCTATTCATCATCAATGCGACCGACAGCCCTCTGTGCAGGGGATGTCTGGAAGCAGAAGAAACGGCCCACGTAACCCTGGAATGCGAGGGAGTGGCCACACAACGCTCAAGTATCATTCCCGATACAAAATCGCTTCTAGAAGCCTGTGAACGCACCAGGAGGCTTCTGCGCTTCTGGAAGGAGCTTGGTTGGCTCATCTAGCTAACCAGTTATCGACGCATAAAGGACCACTCTTGAGTCGACAACCAATACCAATACCAGCAGACTGGTTACCACAGTACAGACTCTGTTTAGTATGGGTTTAGACCGTCGTGTGTGAGATCTGTGAGGTTATTACAATTCATTTCTTTCCCCATAACCACTTACGCTATGTCTTTTAAATTATACCACAAACGAACACGTGCAACGCTACACTTGTACTATCATTACAAAATGTTCCACAAATTGTTTTTGTTGCCGTTCTGTATTAAATTAGGGGCGGAAATCACAATGAGTCAGATATATTAAAGATAACGCCTGACACCGACGCGACAAGGCGCGGAGACCTGGAATAGGGGCGCCTGTTAGATCCGAAAATATTCGAAATACACCTTGGGACTAATCCCACCCACACGCCCACCACTGTAACTCCTGTACACCAGGATCCACAGCAGTGATCCACGAACACACCGAGTTATGACACTCGGGAAGTCCCAGGAAGAAATTAAACTGTCTTGGAACCCGCAACGAAATTAATCAGAAGAAAATTGGAGGAGTTGGAAATACAGTAAATCCACTTCCCTCCTTAGCAAAGCGGGAGACAAAATGAAGTAAAAATGGGCATACACCCTTCGAAATACACCTGTGAAACTTCCTTTTTTTTACTCTTTTTGCAATATTCTTCATTGATACACGGCTCCTATTCCTTGTGGCGTAATGTTAGCCTATAGTCTTCCTCGATAAATGGCCTTAGCAATACTAAAAGATTTTTTCAATTAGAATTTTTGTCGAAGGCGATACTTTCACAAATAATTCGTGCTCGAACACAGTAGTTTCTGACAACTTTGTTCTGAAATATCTCCTCTTTGGTTGAGAATTCCAAATTCAAATTTAGGAATTCACCAGCTGACCCGGCAAACGTTGCTTTGCCTAAAAAAAATTTAGGGATGGGTCATCCTTACCATTTAGGGGTATGAAAAATAGATGTTGGCCGATTCTCAGACCTACCCGATGTGAACACAAAATTTCATGAGAATCGGTCAAGCCGTTTCGGAGGAGTACGGGAACGAACATTGTGACACGAGAATTTTATATATAAGATTTAGCTGGTACATTTGAGTTTTGAAAACAGTCATTCATTAGTCTTTTCACTTTCTGTGGTGAGGGGTTTATTCCCATTAAAAAAAAACTGCTGCAGTCGTATAGACTAGCTGTCGTCCGCGTCCCCGCCCGCTAATTTAGAAGTTATGAGTATATTTTTTTTCTACTACCTTTGTCTTTGTCGAATATCGCTGGAAAAAGTAGCATAATATATCCTTCCTCAAAAACCAAACCTATCATCATCACATCACATCATCACATCAACATCCTTCAATAGTCCACTGCTGGACATAGGCCTCTCCTTAGAAAGGAGGTTTTGACCTACTATACCACGCTAGCCAGACGGGTTGGCATAGGGTTTGTGTCAAGTTTTCCTTCTTTTTGCAGACCTATCTCCATACCAAATTTCATCTAAATCGGTGCAGCGGTTATTAATTCCCGATACAAATAGCCACCCCATTTTCACTTCCTTAAAGGACGATTTCTGGGATAAAAACTATCCTATATCCTTTCCCGGGACTCGACCTATCTCTATACCAAATTTCATCTAAATCGATTCAGTGATTTAAGCGTAAAGTAACAAACAGGCAGACACACTTTCGTATTTATAATATTGGTATGGATAGCACTCAAGAATAATGCAGCTATATATTGGTAAATGAATTTCTAAAATCGATTCAGCAGTTTCAAAGATTACTCTTTTTTATACAAACTAAATAATTTTACCCCTTTGTAATGTTAGATTAAATTACTTTTAAGCGAGCAAAGTGGCGGTCGAATACTAGTGTAAGTCTGATCAATATTGTGTATGTCGTCATGCGCCGGCGCCGAAGAGTGCTCTTGAGCTCATAACACATGCATTTGTGTGGAGATAAGAATTCCCTCGAGAATATATGGATGCACTTGAGATATTTAATGTTTGACTGGCTAGTTGGTTAGTGAACCAGAGGTCGTGGGTTCGAGCCGGGAGAAATGATTGAGTGATGAACACGATGATGATGATGATATTTATGTCTGTAAGTAAATCTTGTCAGATGTTTTTACAAGTCGGACTTTACAGCTATAAAACGCCGGCAGTTCCTAAGACTCATTCTGGAAAGAAACGCCAAAAAAAAACATAGTCGTGTCTTTTTTTTAGGGCTCCGTACCCAAGGGGTAAAACGGGACCCTATTACTAAGACTCCGCTGTCCGTCTGTCTGTCTGTCTGTGCGTCTGTCCCCAGGCTGTATCTCATGACCCGTGATAGTTAGACAGTTGAAATTTTCACAGACGATGTACTTCTGTTGCCGCTATAACAAGAAATACTAAAAACAGAATAAAATAAATATTTAAGGTGACTCCCATACAACAGACATGATTTTTTGGCATTTTTATGGACAATAGTGCGGAACCCTTCGTGCGCGAGTCCGAAAATTATGCGAGTGCAATATAGGGTCTGGGTATGCCTTTTGAAGGAATAACCATAGTTTTGAGTCAACCTGTCCTTACAGATGTCTTACAGGCCCCCGCCAGAGTGTAGTTTAACCGATGCTTACATCATCAACAGTCTTTAATAGTCCACTGCTGGACATAAGCCTTAATTAGGAAGGAGGTTATGGCCTACTATACCACGCTGGCCAGACGGGTTGGTACAGGGTTTGTGTCAAGTTTTCCTTCTCTTTGCAGTGCTGTTGTCCTGCATGCACTTAAAAATAAATTTGACTGAACAGTCAAAAATCTTTGAATAAAAAAATCGTTCTTACCTGTCCATCAGTTCTTCTCCTCGGAGAGGTATGATGCAGATCAGCTCTAAACCCTCCAGCTGGCTCCCCATCCGTCTCCAGAACCTTCAGGAGATAGCTGATGTATGACGTGGCCAGCCGCAGGGTTTTGATCTGGTGAGAGAAGAAACGTTAATCTGTGATTAAAAGATGAGAAAGAATTTTTGGCTCAGGCGGAGTAGAGTTGGATGTGGTATAAATAAAAACAAGTCCTAAATATTATTTAAAAAAATAAACAGGTCGCTTTACACATTGACGAAGAGTCCTTGCTGGGTCTAAAATTATTCATCTAGTTCCGAAATATACATAATACATATTGATTTGACGTTTAGTAAAAAAAATTACTGCAAGTAATGTAATCGTCAAATGTCAAAAACTTAAAAAAAAAATATTAATACCCGACTGCTCATAATGGAGGGTTATGATTTTTGAGTGAATGTATGTATAGTGTATTTCTTTTGCGTGCTTTGTACCCTCAACGGCTTGATGGATTTTGGCGTTTGACGTGTCGTTAGATTCGTCATTGTTGTGAGCGTGATACCGGGTATATGAAAATTATAAAATTAAAATTGTGTACCCAATATATAATAAGTAACTACACATTTGCACGCAGTTGGGTTATTTAGTTTTCTTTTCAATAATCAGTTTGCTTAATATTTTAATTCTGAAAGGCACTTAAGCCAGTCGATACAGTATCCTGATATTGGTGCTGATTCTGTTGTTCGAAAACTCTCTAAACTAAACTAAAAATCACCAAAAATATGTTTCGAACTGTCAAATAACGTTTCCTGTTCTGAAAACGTAGAATTTGGCAGGACTAAACAATTTTTTAGTGATTTTTAGTTTAGTTTAGAGAGTTTTCGAACAACAGAATCAGCACCATTGTATCACGATTGACACGAATTCAGATTGTAAGAACAATAAATTTAATTGCAAAAATTTTTTACATGCGAATTCATGTTTACGTTGACGTGACGTTTAACGATATCGACGATGATTAACGTGACGCAGTATAGTGACTGCAGAGTGGCGCAGTATAGGGTAGGCTAGGGTCGGGTACAGTAGAATAGGGTAGTGTAGTAGAAAGTGGAGTTTTGTAGGATAAGGTAGGTCTAACACCAGCAGGATACGATTATGCATTGTTGTAGTGATCGGACACGAAGTAGGGCAGTTAAGTGTTGTGTAGGGCCAGGTAATTTAATGTAGAAAAGAGTAGTGAATGTTGTTTAGGGTATTGTAGAGTCGGGTATTTTAAGGTAGAATAGGGTAGGGTCGGGTACCGTCCTGTTCATTTTTTTATGTGGGACAAACTGCTCCTTCCTGTCTGTGTTTTAACTTGAGTTTTAAAAGGTGCTATATAACAGGTCATGCTAAACATTTTTTTTAATTTTATATTATACAACTGATTCCCTTTTATATGTCGACAAGTAGTGTAGTGTAGGGTAGTCTAGTAGGGTAGTGTAGTGTAGGGTAGTGCAGGGTAGTGTATTGTAGTGTAGGGTAGTGGAGTGTAGTTTAGGGTAGTGTAGGGTAGTGGAGTGTAGTTTAGGGTAGTGTAGGGTAGTGTAGTGTAGGGTAGTGTAGGCTAGTGTTGGGTAGTGTAGTGTAGTGTAGTGTAGGGTAGTGTAGTGTAGGGTAGATCTGACGCTGTAATAAGTGTTCTATTTATACCATTACCAACTCATCATCCACCTGCAGCCGATACTAACCTTCGTCATCTTAGTATCTGGCAAAACGTTAGGTATATGTTGTCTGAGACTCGTGAACGCAGAGTTGATGCTCTGCGATCTCTTTCTCACCATCTGGGAGCATTCATATATGCTATACAGGCTGCGCCCGCGGTGTTACCCGCGCTTGTTGTTGTACCCTTACTCATTCTACGGGAACACTAAACTTCGGGATAAAAAGAAGCCTATGTGCTATTCCAGATTATAATCTATCCTCTGTGCCAAATTGCATCCAGATCCGTTCAGCCTTTTTTGCTTGAAGAGTAACAAACATTCATACTTACATACAAATTTTCGAGTTTATAATATTTATAAGATATGCGAGTACATTGCATCTTTTTTTAGAGACTACTGCCGCATTAGGAATATATAAAGGACACAAAGAACATCCAGACTCAGGACAACAATTCGTGTATCACACAAAGTGTTGTCATGAAGGAATCGAACCCACAACACTCGAAGCAGCGAGGTGACCGCTTAACCCACTACGTCATCTATGCAGTCATTGGTGGTGGTACATTGCGTATCGCAAGTAGGATTTTGAATATCATTCCTTCCCCCCTCCCAAGTTAGCTTTACCCTACCCTATCCCGAAAAATGAAATCCAGAATATCTTGGCACCAAAAAGGTAGTTTTAAATAAATATTATATTGAGGGTAGTTGAAAAAATTCCTATTGAAGATCTTACCTTGGACAATTTGGTGTCTGGTGGCACATTAGGTATGCATTCTCGAAGGTCAGAAAATGCCGTGTTGATGCTCTGGGTACGTCTACGTTCCTTCTTGTTGGCTGTTGTCCGTCGCTTGGCGACGCGGACGAAGGAGGAAGCGGGACGGTCGAAGCGGAGAGGGAGGGACTGGAGATCACATTCTAGACCTAGAAGAAAAGAGAAGATGAAATAACAGAATAGTGTAAGTGGTTTTAAATAATTATAACCCCGGTTTCAAATTGACACATCTCACTCACGGCTGTGTTATCCCAAACTAGGCTGAGCTTGTACTATAATGGTAGCCAGATTCCTACTAAATATACTTATATATTACTAAATACATACATATTGTAGATAAATTATTGTAGCAAATTATCGTGTTGATCACACAATTATTTGTCATGGGTGAGAATTGAACCCAAGATCTTTAGCTTAGCAGTCGGGATCACCAATCTACTCACATATTTACTTTAAAAAAAAGAAATTCTAATTATTATTAAATGCCAATAGTTATATATTTGCCTGACGTACATATAAGTACATACCTAAACTCTTACGTATGAGACGTCTATGTCTGGTCCTTCGAATTAGTTAAAGTGACGTCAAAGTACGCTACATACTCAAACTTGGTCCTTCGAACCCCTTAATGAGGATAGATACAAACCTGTGTTATTCGGTGTATAACTGTGAGTCATATTGTGATGATATGTGTCATAAGGATCATTGCTAGCCATCTGCATTTCTTCATAACCTGCAAGAGAATAGTGGACCTTAATCACAAAAGTTAAGGTTTAAAATTAATATAGTTCTGACACGTAACTGAGGTCATTAATAGCATATTTAATATAGATTATTTACCGTATCCTCTGCCTATATAATGAGTTGTATCGTGGTACACATCCTGGTTGTCGAACTCGTGAGCTTCGCCGTTCGAGCCAGGCCAGTATACACCGCCGTCCATAGGGCTGCCTACCAAAAATAATTATTGTTAATTCTATAAAGTTAATTATATTTTTTAATTTTACTGTTAATTATACTGTTAGTTTTGCAACGTTATTCCGATAGAGTTATCTATCTATATTGATAAATGTGAAGTTGGTTTATGTACGCTTTTAAAACTTAGGAAGTTCTGCACCGTTTGGACTCAAATTTTGACACGATATACAACCCTCCCCCTTCAGAGATTTTTTTCATACTTTAAATTAGAGTCTGTGTGGGTACCGTGTGGTGACGGATTAAGAATACAGAGTGTCACCACCCCTATTCATCCCGTGGGTGTCGTAAGAGCCGACTAAGGGAGCAAACTACGCAGGACAAGAGGACCGCAAAGAGAAGGAAAACTTAAAACAAACCCTATGCCAACCCGCCTGGCCACAGCATGGTATAGTAGACCAAAACCTCCATTATAAGGAGAGGCCAATGTCCAGCAGTGAACTCTTAAGGGCTGTTGATGAAATTAGAGTTTTATGCACATGAGTATTTTTTTGTAAGCTAAAACCATTTAAAACCTCCTTTCTAAGGAGAGGTCTTTGATAGTCCAGTAGTGGACTGTGATGATGATGATGATGAGTATTTTTCATGTTTCAGGGGGCAAACAAGCAGATGAATCAATTGATGCTAAGTGTCTACTTCCTTAGAAGCTCTTTCTGATTTTTAGAGTAGTATTAACAGATGTAAAAGTATGTATGTAGATTTTTTAAACTTATTGTTAGATACATTACATTAGTCCAGAGTCAGCGATAACAGTTATTGTACTAAATATTAATAATTACATGTGTAAAAATTCATGGGTAAAAATAAATCTGTAAGAATAAAATATCGTTACAGTTTTTAACAGTTAGTTTTACACTGGTGTAACTTAGATTAAATATTGACTATTATCCAGTTTAAATCAGAATGTCTTACACTGTAACATATGTTTTGTTAAAAATATTATTATTAAATACTCTTTCGAACTAGTCTAAGGAAACCGTTACGTTAATCGTATACCGTTATTTTCATAACGTTATTTCTGTGGCACCTTTGTCTTTTCAATGAAATAAAATTGTAGACTGTTACCAGAGTCAAATATAAAGTCCTTACCTTGATGACTAGGCTGGCAATAGTATGGCGGCTCATATCTGTCAAAACCTTCATCTGACGGTGACATGCTTCCGTAACTTGACATTTGAATTTACCTAAAACAATAAAAAAACACATATTACCTTAGAACTAACAAAATAATACTTAAAAACTTTTTCTAAAAATTTACACCAAGAACTCTGAAGAGTTCTCTTTTCTAAAGTTTGTTGTTTCTCAGTCCTAAAACTAGAATGCATAATTTTTTTAAACCAACTTAAAAATATCAACCCCAAGGGGGTAAAACAAGGGATAAATCGAAATTAGAAAAAAGAAATAGGCACGCGAGCGCAGCCAGAGTACATAATCATATATAACAGAGTAATCGAACTCACGACCTATAAAACACAGGTCGGATGCTACATCGCCGCGCCATAAGGTCTGGTATAATAAGTGATTCATTTTAAACATATGAGTTAAATAATGGTATCAAAACATATGGCGCTATAGGCCATTGGCTGTTTTAGTCGATCAAACGATTTAAATGTGTCATGTTAGAATCAAATATTTGCCCCATATCATATCTAATGAGTCCCGCTACGAGCCGGCTTTTTTTTAACATCATTATCATCAACAGCCTCTAATAGTCCACTGTTGGACACAGGCCTCTCTTTAGAACGGATGTTTTGGCCTACTATACAACGCTGGCCAGACGGGTTGGTATAGGGTTTGTTTTAAGTTTTCCTTCTCTTTGCACTGCTGTTGTTTAGTTTGCTCCCGCGTTTTTTTTAACACACTTTTATTAACTTGGTATGTATCTATGTAACAGAATCTTCGAACGTGATTTTGACCCACTTCAAAACGTCAAATTAAATTGAAACTTCGCACACTTATCAAGGACCGACGACAATACAATAATTTGATAAATTTGGCCGATTATCCTGATCAGGGTCTTCAGGATTAATGGTTTTATCCATACCTAAAGATACAACAGTGTCTTGTGCTACGTACTAAGAGGCGTGTGCTGAAGCATATGTCACTTACTCGTATTTACTTGTTACTTTTTAGTCTCTATTAATTACTAAAAAAGGGAAAAATAAATTATAGTTAAAAAAAGAACATTGAATCAATTTATCGTAAAAAAGTGTGGTGTGCTTTTCAAGATATTTTATAATATACTAACTTTACTTTTACCAATATCTGTTCGGAAAATATTTTTGCAACAATGGAGATCTAGAACCCCGATTTATTATATTATTTTACGATAAAAATGATTTTTCTTTTTGAACTAATAGAAAATTATTTTCTACTTTTTAGTTCGTCTAGCTACAAAAGCGTGGTTATCTAGTTTTTTTTAAAACTATAATTCATTTTTTAATGGAACTCCCACTTTTTGTCGCGATGTGGTGTGGTCGTGGTACTTGTTAAACCAGCCTTAGGAAAATGGTAATGGTACCTAAATTAGGTAATGGTTTTATTGTTTATTATTCAAATAATATTAAGGCTCTCTTACTTCTATTTTAAATGACTATCTGAAGGTAATTAATTATTACCTGCATTAGTCTGTTTGAAAAAAAAACATTCTGTATAACTTGTTAGCGCAACATAGAGACTATGGGCCATGCACTAGAAATATATCCTGTATCGCGGAAACTTTACAAATTTACATGGAACAGACACAAAAAAACACCCAGACCGAATACACAACACTCAGCGCAGTACAAGGCTGCGAGGTGACCGCTTAAACCACTACGCCATCCCAGCAACCATTTTCAGCTTAACTTAAAACAATGGTAGGTACGTATTAGCATATGTTATTTTATTATTATCGTTGTACGGACATTTTGTCGTTTATAACGTAAACAATTTACTCGGGCCGTCATTCGAGAACCAAATGTTGGAGTTAACCCGTGACATGTGTGGCTTATTGGAGTATTTTAATAGTTTTACATACAAAATATGTGTACATTTATGCATTTTTCATGTTAATTATGATGTTAAAAAAGATTTCTTTATCTTATATTTTCTTAGGAAGAAAACGAACAGACGGATCACTCCAATGCACTCGGTACTGTTCCTCCGCTGAACTCAAATCCCCGTCTCTCATTTTAAACTCAAGCACGTAACTAAAAAACTGCTGAACATGTGTTCTTTAATATCGAACGGGTGCATACGTCAGTTTGAAGTATCTTCCACTTGAAAACATTACAGAGTCTTTACTGTGAGATACCAACTGAACTTAGATTTACAATGAAAAAATTCGAACAAGTGCGACTCGTACTCGCCTGTCGAGGGTTCCGTGATGAATGATTTGATTACAAATGTATACCTAGTTATAAAAATTTCCCTGTACTTGTAGTATAAGGCGACGTTGGTTGCCTTTCATAATTCTAGGTCAACAGGAAGTTTGATTCCCTTGAGTCCTTTGATTCCCTTGAGTCCAGTCCGTGTGGTGACGGATTAAGAATACTTAATGTCACCACCCCTATTCATCCCGTGGGTGTCGTAAAAGCCGACTAAACAAACAAACTACGCAGGACAATAGCACTGTAAAGAGAAGGAAAACTTGAAACAAATCCTATGTCAACCCGTCTGGCCAGCGTGGTATAGCAGGCCAAAACCTCCTTTCTAAGGAGAGGCCTATGTCCAGCAGTTGACTATTATAGGCTGTTCATGATTCCCTTGAGAGTGTCGAAATATGCGTTTTTTGCGGCATAAACGACCGTATCTTTTTACCAACCATAGACTTGAGTATATGGTTTTAATTTCAACTCGATACCTCCACAAATTCCCGAGATAAATGGTCTTAACAGACAGACTTACAGACAGACAGACGGACAAGAAAGTGATCCTATAAGGGCTCCGTTTTTTCCTTTTGGGTTACGGAACCCTAAAAAAACGGATAATTAGGGCTCTGTTTCGCAGTGGGAAGGTTTCGTATATAAATATTTTTAAGCATATAATTCGTAATACATTGGCCTTTTGGTTTAGTGGTTTGTGATGCTGTGCGCTGGGCTAAATGCCGTTTGCTTGATCACTTAGGACGAATACTTGTATAATGAGCACGATCATTTTGTTCTGTCTCTGGGTGTGATTTATCTTAAATATGTATGTTTTTTGTAATATATAAGTAACTAGCTGTACCCAGACTTGCTTCCTATTTGTGTGTCGTTTTGTGTTTTTTTCGTTCCCTGATGGAATGGGACTACACACACACAAAGGCGTTTGCCATCTTTGAATCTCCCCCCCCCCCCCCCTCACTGGGCACTGGGGGGCACTGGTAACGTCACTTGGTGAAACTCGGTTTTTTTTGTAAATCCCGTGTAATAAGTATTTAGTAATATTTATATATTTTTTATTTAAGCCTTTTCGTCTAATAAACCATTAAATGGTATGGCAATTTCATTTATTTAATATTATTGTTTATTTATTTTAAGTCAACTAATTTCCTAAAACAAGAATTAAGAACTACCTATTTAGATAATACTTAAATAAAATAAAAATGTCCCAAAAAATCTATGAGACATATTGACCTAAAACAAAAAAAAAATATATTACTAAATAATTTATTAAAAAATATTTTAAAAGCACGATGAATTAAATTAAAAGTATCACGCAATATAGTTTTTTTTTGTTAATTTTGTTAATATCTCGTTGATATAATGTAGTTAATACAATCTATCACTTACCTATAAATCGACTAGAATCAATTAATCACACAATAATAATCTAACACTATCACTACTATTAAAAAAAACACTTCTTGTCCCAATAATCAAATTAAAATTTATTTTGACTTCAAATTCACTATTTTTTTTTTAAAGAAATGAATTAATTACACATCACTTTTACAAATAACATTACACAGTTGAAGAATAAAACAATTTTTTTCTTATTGTCGACGGCTACTGTCACATTGTTTGACAGTAGAGTGACATTACTTTTGGCGCCTTTTTAGTGACTGGCCGATGTATCAAAAAGTCGGCCCCAGTGAGCTTCGTAGAGGGCGTGGCCTAGCATATTAGGGAATTGGTCTGACGTAGATACGAAAGATCTTAAACGCCGACACAAATACGTTTAAAATTGACTTTTATTTTAAAGCTTATTCAGGAAGAAAAATAATTTTTTCAACAAGATTGGTTGTATGAAAGCAATTTAGTTGTCGTTTTTGGTAATTTCAATTTTTTTTTTTTTAAATATTTATTATGAAAATGATCATAGACGTAAAATTTTCATGATTCAATTGAAGTCGGTGATCATTATTATCATCAACAGCCTGTTATAGTCCACTGCTGGACTGAGGCCGCTCCTTAGAAAGAAGGTTTCCTTAATTGAAGTCGGTGATACCTCTTTAAAAGGTAATTATTTACTATTATAATTACATTACTATTTCACAACATTATGTCTATAAATAATTGTCTCCTATTACGTTTCTCTTTCAGTAACGTCAACACTTTAAACGCGCCATTAGCTGGCGCGAATCAAGCTCACGCCCACAATTGAACTTCTGTTTCAGAATATACTGATCTCTTTCTAACCTACTGGCATTATCTATTACTTTCTCTTTCTGCTTCGTGAGATTGTTTTAGATGAAGAACTTTGAAAATATATTCAAACAGGGATGGAATGTTTTACGTTTATTGTTTTTATGATTTAGCAAACGAGCAGACGAGTCACCTGATAGTAAGTGACTACTAGGAGACTGCAATTTACCCACGCCACCCAGATATAGGGGGGGGAGGAGGGGGGGGGCGAACAGGGGCACTAGCCCCGGACGATAGTTTCAGGGGGCACAAAAATCATAATATAGTATGATTAAAAATAAAAAACTTGCGCCACAAAACGCCTAGCATACGGAATTCAGTATCAAGTTCCTGCCCCGTTTCGAGAAAATCGTAGATCCGGGGCTGTGTGATGGTTCAGCTCAAACAAAGTAATACCACGGACTCACAGAAAACTGGTATTGAGAGGTTCTTTTATCGTTTTCTCCAAGTAAGTGAAGTCACCGAAACCCAACCCCAACAGACCAGCTGATTATGGGGGGGGCGGGGGACACTATCTGCAGTTGTCCATGGGTTGTAAACCCACGATGGGCCGCATTTTATCAATAACTAGCCCACGAAACGTCGTGTCTGCTGCGTCTCTCTAAGGGAATGAATTTTCCCCATTTCTGCAACAATTTTTAATGATGCTTGGCTCCTACTGATCGTAACGTAATGCTATATAGCCTAGCCTTCCTTTGTAAATGGGCTATCAAACATTAAAAACAATTTTTCATATCGAACCAGTAGTTTCTGAGAGTGGCTCGTTCAACCGAACACACATGCAAACTGTTTTAGTTAGCGAATTATTTTTAGGATAAAAAAACAACTAAAAGTTTTTAACCACTTTTGCCTTAATATTAATTTTGACTAAACATATTTAATAATATTAATAACCTCACACACGGCCGTCTGAGCCCAAACTAGGCAGAGCCTGTACTATGGTAACCAGACTGTATATACCTACTTATGTATTTCTGAATATATACATATTTTACACAAATTACACCCAGGCACAGAACGTAAACACGGTCGTGCTCATCACACAATTATTTGTGTTCGGTGGGTATCGAACCCACGACCTCTGGCTTAGCAGGCAGGCCTACTAACCACTAGACCAAAATACCAGTCAAACCAATATATTCCAAAATACAGATAATATAAACCACACATTAACAAATCAAATAAACAGATATTATAATTTAGTAATAATTACATTACAGCGATTCCCCTCCCTCACTCGTCACCCTTTATCTTCACAATTATATTATTATCTGTGCAACATGAGAATGCAATCGCCCTAATGATCTGTCCATAGAGAATTATAATTTTATTTATTGAAAATATTTTGACAACGCGCCAAAATTTGATTACTTAATGACTTTGACATTTCGAATTACTGTTAAGTGCCTACGAATAGAGACTGGTGTATAAGTGTTTAGAATCTGTTTGTGCATTTGTTTTATAGATAAGATTATTTATACAAGTAATTTAGGGTCTATTTCATATGTTAGACCTCTTTTTTTTTATTTAGAAACCCTTCGGCTCGTCACTTTGCCAGAGTCAAACGGGTCGGAGTCAAACTGACATAAAACAAACAGTGTTCCGTCATCAAGAAAACAGTGTTAAGTCAGAACCCTACTAGACCTAAAAAAATGTAATTCAAATATTTTTCAAGCGTATTTCACATTAAATTTTAAATCTAAAAATAGTTACTACATTATACTGGCTGAATTTTGTTTACTTTTTTCAATAATTCAAAATGACGCTATAGACTATGCAAGAAAAACTTTTTCATTCTATTCTTAAACGTAATCAACAGCCCCTAACAGTCCACTGTTGGACATAGGCATCTCCTTACAATTGAGGTTTTGGCTTGATATGATATGCAAGATTTAAATTACATTTGGAAAAAGAAAAGCTCTTTGAAAGCTTCATCAATTCAATCCATAGCTTAAAGCTGGTTTACCATCACCAGGGTGATAAAACTTCGACTGTAACAATCTGCTCAAAAACTGAAGTTACGCCTTCTCTTTGATATATTCCCTGCTATCATCAAATTATAATTTGCTATATAGTGCATTAAAAGACAATAATAAAAAGACAGGACTACAATGTGAATATCCTCTGAGCGTCACATCACCGCATGCTGCAAACATTAAAGCTGCATTCATGTGGAATGTTATTTTAAAACAATTTAACACGTAATTAGGCACTTAAACGGATCAGTTGCAATAAATTATCTGTGGTAAAAATGGCGCGCAAGGGCGGGAACTTTGACACTAACACTAGAAAGTGTGAATTTGATGCTTTAGGCTAGGTGGACACTGAGTCTATGATATCAGTTTTTTTTAAAGTAAAACAATATTTTACTACCGAAATATCTTATTTTTAAGTTACCGATTTTATAAGTAACTTTTAAGTAGCTTTGAAAGTTAATATTAAGTAACAGATATCCATTGCGATTGACCAAGCAAACTCACGTCTGCTACTAATTCACCAGATAGTTAGTGCATTGTATTACAGTTCTGATTTGTTATTAAGAATAAAAATAAATAATCTAAACCTAAGTTATATTAGAAAGAGCTAACTTAGAAAAAACAAAATAAAAAAGGAAGATAAACATAACATCAATCTGAGAAATATTATTAAAATTATTTTAAGCTGGTACTGTTTCATTTGGCGAATTTTGCTCCTATTTAACACAAGCCACAAAAGAGATTAAAAGAATATTAAAATGAAGTTAAAAAATACATGGGTCAAGTGTACCTCGAACCTAACCACAAAAAAGGCGGCAATATTGACAGCTGAACTGTCATCCGACACGCGTCGTTTTTTTTTTCGTAATTAACAAGGCGTGGGTGTAATCGCACCCTAAGGCCTTTGACTCGTGCGTGCTGAATGAATGCTTTGTTTTTTTCTACGGTCTATGAAATTGCTAGAATATGAGATACGAAATTTGTTTTAAATCACTTCCCATGACTATTTCAGTAGTTTTGGTCGATATCACAGATTACCTATCACACAGAGTAATCTGTGGTCGATATTGACACCCGGTACAATTCTTATTAGTAATTATTAAATGAAAATGAACTGAAATATAATGACGTTACATGGCACATGTAGTAAAAAGTGCCATTGTATAAACTAAACAGTTGTGTTATGGGATACCTAAAACTGTATTTCGGGGCGAGGTGGCGTACCTTGGTTGTCCACCCTGGTAAATGCAGAACCAAAGCCGGTGTACGGGCTCCGCTCCGTCACATTGTGGAAACGTAAAACACACACCTTGCTAATGTTGCCATTTTGTTTTTCAAAATTGACGCAACTCAAATATTTGAAACTGCCCATTAGGCTTTAATTTTTACAATCTATTTAAAATGTAAAAAATCTGATTCAGACAAAAAACAAAAAAATATATGTAAAATACGCAATATTTACACGTCATTATTTTAAATAGATCCTATATATAAAATTCTCGTGACACAATGTTCGTTCCCGTACTCCTCCGAAACGGCTTGACCGATTCGCATGAAATTTTGTGTGCACATCGGGTAGGTCTGAGAATCGGCCAACATCTATTTTTCATACCCCTAAATGGTAAGGGTGACCCATCCCTAATTTTTTTTTGTTTTGCAATACAACGTTTGCCGGGTCAGCTAGTATTATATATTAACCTTGTCCTTCGCGGACATTGGTGTGGGTTGCACGTTCACTCAATAGATTATTTACCCTTTTTTTGTTTACCCTAACTTGAAAATACTATATTAGATATTAAATAATACAATTGTTGCATTATTTTATACTCAGAGAATTATTTATAGTTTTTATGAGTTGTTTCAGTTTCGAAATTTCTAACTCGGGAGCTGTTTAACGTTTTTATATCAAATGGCGAAACCATATATATATACCGGCGTATAACGCCCTACAACATGTAGTTGACAAAAGGCTTGTTGCCTATGATGTAATTGGAACTAATTTATAGTTGGAACTTTCTTTTCTTTTTTCTTTTACTTTTAAAAAATACAACTCCCGCAGTAGGAAAATATCAAAGAACACCCAGACTCAGAACAACAATTTGTGGATCACACAAAGTGTCGTCCCATGTGGGGTTTGAACCCACAACACTCGGCGTAGTAGGTAGCGGCGTGGCGACCGCTTAAACCACTACGCCATTCGTGCAGTCAAAACTAGGTGGTAGCCACGGCTTCGTTGGTGTGGAATTTGAAAAGTGCTGCCTTAGTACGACTGCAGACCATGAGGCCTCGGGTTCGCAACCTGAGCAAAATATAAGCCTAAGTTACTTCCAATATAGACAGCTACCTGGTAATAAAATATTATCCAAATCGGTTCAGCCGTTCTGAAGATTAACCGGTACAAACAGACAGACAGGAAGACAAAAAATATTAAAACTGGCTTTTCGGCATAGGTATCGTGAAACTAACCTTGTGAGCATATAAATAACCTATTATTTTGACATTATATTACAAACAGACACTTCAATTTGATTTATTTGTATAGATAGTGTATGTGTTCAATAATCGTCTAGTCTCCCTAGTCTGCAGTCGTAAGTTTGCATGTATGTAATAGGGATGTGCCCCATTTATGTATCGATATCCGATCATAACACAGACTGAACGTTACAACAAGAGTAACTACAATGGGCGGTTCTATCGCTAATGACAATTTCTACCAGACAATCTTTTTTATAGTACAAAATAGCATCACATCAACAGCCTTTAACAGTCCACTGCTGGACATAAGCCTCTCCTTAGAAAGGGGGTTTGGCCTTCTATCTAAGGAGAGGGAATAGCATATCGCATACTATTTAATGAATATTTTATATATACATAAAATTAGATACCAAATAAAACTATGAGAACTCATTGTATGCATAAAGACGTATTATTTAATAAAAATAAAATGTATTTAATAATGTAAAAAATAAAAACTAGTCTTAACTTAGAATACATACATTTTTTAATTTTCAAGTTTAATTACAATAAATGATCCCTAATTTTGTGGGTGTCGTAAGAGTCGACGCAGGACAACAGCACTGCTATGCAAACCCGTCTGGCCAGCGTGGTACAGTAGGCCAAAACCTCCTTTCTAAGCAGAAGCCTATGTCTAGCAGTGGACTATTAAAAGCTGTTCATGATGAATTATTTAGTTAAAAATTATTAACCCTTGAGAACTGCTTCAAGAGTTTTCTCGAGGATATTTAATATTTAAACCGCTAGGAACTGGTTGTAGAGAAATAGTTGTCATCGTCAACGGATGTGTTATCAGTAGAACTAATTGAAATCTGCTTGCATTTGAGCTAAAAGAAACTTGATGAATTCTGAGAAGAATTTGTTGTTGAATCATTGCTGTTTTCTGTGCTGGCTGAGTCAGCAGAGCTTTCTGATGTCTTGCTACTATCGTTTAAATCGCTGTACTCTGTGCTAGATGAATTGCCACAGGAGCTCTCTGAGATTTTGCTGCTATTATCTGATCAAGACGAGTTGTTGTTAGAATCATCAGAACTGATCTCTGAAGAATCGTTGTTCTCTGTATTGTATGATTCATTAGAAGAACTATCTGAGGTCGCGTCGCTATCGTTTGAGCTGGAGGAATCATTTGTGTGAGATGAGTTAATAGTAGAGCTATCTGAGCTGAAGGTGCTGTTGTCATAACTAGACGAGTCAGCAGAACTCTTTTCTGAAAACTCCTTACTCTCTATGCTTGATAAGTCACCAGAAGATGTATCTGTCGTTTTTCTTTCATAGTTGGTAGTAGCATCATTGGAGCTATATGAAGCACTAGAAGAATTGGTTGCAGATGATTCAACAGAACGTCTTATAGACGAATTCTCGGATGAATAATCAGAAGAAGTATCTGATGTTACAGTGCTTTTATCGGAGCTGTAGGAACTATCAGAAGAATTAGTTGATAATGAAGTGTCTTCACTGGTACTGTCTGAAGATGTAACTGATGATGTATTATTTGATTGAGTAGAGCGGTCAGATGAATAAGTTGATGTGTAACTGTTGTCTTCAGAGGCTGATGAACTATCGGAAGAATCATCTGATGATGATTCGCTCTTATAGGAGTCGGATGTTGATAATTGGCTGTTGATTGTTGATGATGAAGTGCTGTAACCGGAATCAGTTAACGATGATGAGCCGTTGTCATCATCATTTGATGTTTTTTGTAAGTCTCTTAATTGTTCCTCGTTACTTGAATCATCTGGAACACCATTACGTAATACGTTGGTAAATGTTAGACTAGGAAACTTAGATACATATCTTTTATTGCCTTTAGTTATAGTAATAATAATAGTTGTATGCTTACCATTGTTCTTGGTTTCTTCAGAGGTGTTATCATCATTCGTTGATGTAGACTGAGCTTCAGTAGTTTTAATATTCTTCAATAGTTCATCAATTAAAGCCAAGATATCTTCTTCACTTCTATCAGATTTTTGATTATCTTCTACAAGTTTTTCTGAATCTCCAGATTGAATTTTTAACCCAAGTATTTTCAAAAACTCAGCGTAGCATTCTCTTGGTATGTAACGATTTTTATATTTGTACGTTCCGTTTCGTAGAGAAAATACTTCAAATCCTAAATCTAATATGTGATCATCTTTAGAGTCTGTATCATAAGAATCTCCTTCACTAGTAAAGTTATCATCAGGACCTACAGGTAGCTGTATATCATGTATGTGTAGAATATCAAGTAGTCCAAGTATATATTTAGCAGGAATTACGTGATCTTGGTACATATAATGACAGTCACCGATATAAACAATTTCCTCCCCTAAATCAATCGGTCCTTTGGGACATTCTCTCTTTTCATTCTCATGCGAAAGTACTGTTTGTTTATCATTATGGAGTTGAGGGTATCCATCTTCTGTAAATGATATATGCAAGTTAAGGCTCTTAGAGAATTCAACAATTTTATCAGCGGGAATTGTTTCCTTTTTGTAAGTGTACTTTCCATGGTCATAAAAGAGGCCTTCTCCAAGATCTATTGCAGTATTATCAAAACTGGAAAGCTCATTTTCATCAATAAGTTCTACAGGTATGCCATCGTCAGTAAGTGAAATATTCAAATTGAGGCTTTTGACAATATCAATGATGTTACTACAGGGATAAATTTTGTTTTCATAGTCGTAATGACCGTGTCCGAGGAAACGTAGACCTTTTCCAAGATCAATAGGGAACTTTCTATCTGATCGTTTATCTGGAACCGTATAATGAAAAAGACTGGCAGGGAATCCATCTTCTGTGAAAACTATTTCATTAATTTGATGTGATTTACAATAATTTAGTATGTCGCTACTGTCAATGATTTCATTATGACATCTATAACTGCCGTTTCCGAGGTAGTAGATGTTAGATCCCAGATCGTAGGGGAAATCTCCATAAATATCGAGAAGTCCTTTTTTATGCACACCAGATATTTCGTTGTCATATAGAGCAATTCCACTGTCGAAGTTTTCTGCTACAAATTGTAAAGGTAAGCCATAATCTGTGACCGACACATTCAACTCATTCTCTTTTATGTATTCTACGATACCTCCAACAGGAATAGTTTTATTTTTGTGTCTATATTGACCACATTCATAGTATAATAGATCGTCTCCAAGATTAATAGGGAATTTACGATGTGGTTCAGATCCACCATCTTTAATATTTTTGAATACATCAGAAGGGAATCCATCGTTTGTGAATATTATGTCGGTGATTGAGTGAGATTTACAAAATTCAATAATATCCTTACTGTCGATTATTTCGTTGCTATCGTAGATATAACTACCGTTACCGAGATAGAAAAGTTTAGATCCAAGGTGTAACGGGTAACCTTCATGGTGATTTATTGGTTCACTTTCATGTCCTACGTCATCTTTTTCATCTGGACTAAATACATTATCTGAGCTACCAAAATAAACACCTAATGGCAATCCTTGTTTTGTAATGTGAACGTTTATTTTATTTGTTTTTATAAACTCGCCGATATCGCTAGCAAGAATGATTTGATTTTTGTACTTGTAATGGCCATTGTCGATGTAATATAAATCATCACCAAGATATATAGGGTACTTCCAAGTATGTCCAATATCACCGTGTTCAATTTCATTAAAAAGACTTGAGGGAAAACCATCATCCGTGAAAGATACTTTTGTGAGGTCATGGGATTTGCAGAATTCAATTATATTGCTCCTAGGTATTGTAATATTTTTGTAAATATAATTGCCTTTACCGTCATAATAAATATTAGACCCAACATCATAAGGGAAAATTCCATGTGGATTAAGAAGGTCGTCCTCCTTAGAATCAACATTACCGTCAACAGTACTGCCAAAGTTGATGGCCAAAGCTCCATTAAATAGTGTAAGCGGTAATCCTTCTTTTGTAATCTCAATGTCTAAGTTATGCTCTTTGATAACTTGAACAATTTTGGTGGTGGGAATTATTTGATCCTTCCATTTATAGTGACCATTTCCAATAAATTCTAATCCATTTCCAAGATCAATGGGTAATTTTAAATGAGTTTTAAATATACTGTCTAAGCTACCATTGAAAAGGTCTTCTGGGAAGCCATCTTTAGTGAATGATACCTTATTAATGTGTTTAGATTTGCAGAACTCAATTATTTTATCATGAGCTATGATGAAATCCTGATATTTATAAGTCCCATCACCTTGGTAAGTAAGCCCGGATCCAAGATTAAGAGGGAAATGTCCACCACTAAGTCCTAAAGGAAGTCCATCTGAAGTTAAAGAAATACCAGATATACCTAAAGTTTTTAGGTATACTTCAATCTTGGACGCAGGTATAATTTGATCTTGATGTCTATAGTTTCTTCCACCGATATAGAAGATACCAAATCCTAAATCAAGTCCTTGTCCAGAGTTGTCATGTTCAACTCCCGGTTGTCCATTATTTGGAGGGTGGTTAGCAGAGTTGCCAGGTACGATCACATTTTTCCCACCGTGTAAACGAATCTTACGTATATCAAAGTGGAGACCAGTTAGTGTATCATAGTAGCGGTAATTATTTCCATTCTTGCCATGTTTCAAAACATATCGTCCATTACCAGTCGAATAGTGAGTGTCGTCAACTAAATGATGGAGATCGATCGCTCCATGCTTAACAACTTGATTATTATAAGCTCCATATTTCCTTAAATAACCGTTACTGGCTGGACGGTAGCCAGTATAATAAGGTTCATAATGTCGTATGTGATTACCAGTATTAAATCTTTGGTATTCATTAGATATCCGTTGGCCATTGTTGCTTAAAAATCTACGCACATCTTCATGTTTGACTCCGGACCGATAGCGGACCGTTTTGACTTGTTGGTCACCACTTTCTAGTCTACCTAGATGAGAAATTCCTGTATTTGCATTATTTCCATTAAATCCATTTCCAAACCTGTATTGCCTATTTCCATAATTTCTACGGCCATATAGGTAGTTTCTGGCATTATTTATTATTCTAGAATTGTCGTTCCTTAGAGGTACGGATCCATAATTTTTATTTCCTAATCTATAGCTTCTGCCTCTATATCCAAGGTTACCGTTTTCAGAACTACTATAGTGTTTTAATGTCTGACCTTGTCTATTACTTCTATTGCTTTCTGAACCAACGTACGTAGCGTACAGATTTTTGCTTTCACCGTTGTTTGATCTGTAATATTCTGTACCTGGATTTGTCAAATAAACCTTACCGTTTCTGTGTTCATAGTTGTCATTACTATTCCCATTTCTTAAACTGTCAGACTGTTGATTTGCATTTCCTGAATGTAGATTTGATTCCTTGTAATTGTCATTAATGGACCCGTAGTTTCTATAGCCGTAATATTCATTAGCGTTTTCAGTATTCCTTAGATTTACAGACGGTTTCTCTGAATAGTGAAAAGCTGATTCAGATCTATGGTTTTCATGTCTAATTTTTTCACTGCCTGAATTTACAGTATAGTGATTAGAGTTTCTACGATTAAGATTGTAATTTCCATTATTAGATTCGTGTTCACGGTTATAGACACTAGGAGAATACTGATGCCCTTCTTTGAACCCGTACCTGCCATGATTAAAGTCGTAATGTTCATTTCCAGAAAAGTGATTAACTTTATCTGTTCGGTGTATGTTTTTGAATTCACTATTGTCATTTCCATGTTTAAGTCCTAGATATTGTTGGTTTTCCTTATTAATATTTTCTTCATCATGTATCAGGTGACTTTTTTCGAAGCCGTTATTGGTGTGGTGTGCAGCATTTTCATTTCCATGCTGTAGTCCTAAAAATTGATTTTTTTCTCTATTAATATTTTCTTGTGCGCCGTAATTTTCATTAGTAGATCTATGATTTTCATTATCGTTTGTCTGGTGACGTTTTTCGAAGCCGTAATTGGTGTGATGTGCAGCTTTTTCATTTCCATGCTGTAGTCCTAAAAATTGATGGTTTTCTCTTTTAATATTTTCTTTAGCGCCGTAATTTTCATTAGTAGATCTATGATTTTCATTATCATGTGTCAGGTGACTTTTATCGAAGCCGTAATTGGTGTAATGTGCAGCATTTTCATTTCCATGCTGTAGTCCTAAAAATTGATGGTTTTCTCTATTAATATTTTCTTGAGCGCCGTAATTTTCATTAGTAGATCTATGATTTTTATTATCATGTGTCAGGTGACTTTTTTCGACGCCGTTATTGGTGTAATGTGCAGCATTTTCATTTCCATGCTGTAGTCCTAAAAATTGATGGTTCTCTCTAATAATATTTTCTTGAGCGCCGTAATTTTCATTAGTAGATCTATGATTTTCATTATCATGTGTCAGGTGACTTTTTTCGACGCCGTTATTGGTGTAATGTGCAGCTTTTTCATTTCCATGCTGTAGTCCTAGAAAGTGATGGTTCTCTGTATTAATATTTTCTTGAGCGCCGTAATTTTCATTAGTAGATCTATGATTTTCATTATCATGTGTCAGGTGACTTTTTTCGAAGCCGTTATTGGTGTGGTGTGCAGCATTTTCATTTCCATGCTGTAGTCCTAAAAATTCATGGTTCTCTCTATTAATATTATTTTCTTGTGCGCCGTAATTTTCATTAGTTGATCCATGATTTTCATTATCATGTGTCAGGTGACTTTTTTCGAAGCCGTAATTGGTGTGGTGTGCAGATTTTTCATTTCCATGCTCTCTATTAATATTTTTTTGAGCACCGTAATTTTCATTAGTAGATGATTTATGTTGTTCATTGTTATGTTTTAGGTGACCTTGTTCAGAGTTGTAATTGGATAGGTGATCTTCCTGCTTATGTTCATAGTTTCCGTTTCTAGATGTATAAATAGTATTTCGTTTCCTTCTAAGTTTACTTGGGTCGTAGACATTGCTGCCGCTAAGATTGTCTACGTTAAAAAAAAGAAATAGCTTCTGTCAGATGGCATAAATAGGGCTACATTGTACGAGTATGTTGCTGATGTGGAAATCTTTTCGGGGTTTGTATATTACGGGCCTCTTGGCATAGTGATTATGACTACTAACCAGAGGGGTTCGGTTAGCACCCAGGACAAATATTGTGATCCTATAATAATTGTCATCCCTTGGGTGTCGTAAGAGCCGACTAAAGGAGAAAACTACGCAGAACAACAGCACTGCAGAGAGAAGGAAAACTTGACACAAACACTTTTTTTTTTTGACGTGACAACGTCTTGTAATTCGATGGAGCCGGCTGCACGCACGAAAAAACATGACTCATGCGGCGTTACCTCGCTCTGAGGCGTTCCATTTAAGGCGTGAAGTGCAAGCTCGCTCGCTCGCTCGGACAAAGAGGCACAATCGGCCTCCGCGTTCGGCAGCGTTCAACATCTGTCTCTCTCCTACTTGAGTGAGCGATGCGTCCGCGTGGACAGCTGCTACTCGTATACAATCAGTATTTTCTTATGACGTTGTCACGTTCAACTATCGTCAGTAAACCGACTTTACAGACAACCGATTTTTTTTTAACGTGTGGAAACCCCCTCGAGCCGTCACCCCAATGCAAACCTGCAATTTAAGAGACACAAATATGTTGTAACCCTTTGAGTTCCTCCCAGCATTAGAGGGAAAGTGGATTTCGGTAACCGCACTCACTGGAAGAAGTGCAACGACAAAATGACTTAACACCGGTTCTTTGGTCTCTGGTACACGTCCATATCAGTGCCGAAGCATGGCTCTCCCACGATAACTGTTTTGCTAACGTGTGTATTTCAAGAATTTTTAACTGGTTTCTGGCCCTACAGTGGTTTATCAAGGGATGGCTTTTGCTCCCCATTACCATAAAAAATACACATTTTTATAATCATTTATAATCATAGTAAACACTGTTAACACACACACACACACACACATACACACACACCAATAAAAGGCAGTTAAAGAAAGTAAGAAATAATAATAATATAATAATATACCTCGCACATCTCACACACGGCCATCTGATCCCGAACTAGGCAGAGTCTGTGCTATGGTAACCAGACTGCTGATAAACACACTTATATATTTTTAAATACATACATATTATAGATAAATTACACCCAGACACAGAACAAATGACCGTGCTCATCACACAATATTTGTCCTGGGTGGGAATCGAACCCACGACCCCCGTCTTAGCAGTCAGGGTCACTAACCACTAGACCAACAGGCACACAATATGTCCTAATTTATGCATTACACTGTAGCTGTTAGATTGTCGAACGCTATCTTCTGACATACAGTTCATAAACTAGTTCAGGAGATAGAGTCACTATAGTAATAATCAAAACCACCGAACTAATTATGTACCACCAGCTTTGGGCTAAACTTAATTGTCATATAAGTACTACATTGTAAAAACTTTTGAGACAACTTTAAGTATGCCAATATAAAGTTTATGTACCTGTTATGGAAATAAATTATTATTATTATTATTATTCACTTCACCTTCTCCAGCTTTTGCAGAATCAGCATTTTTAACTCCTCCGTCTGAACTAAATTTTCTGCTAGTTTCACTGCTACTGGAGTTTTTGACTTCGTCTTTGGCGTCTGAACTTCTTTTTTTATAAATCCTTTTATCACCATTTTGTATACTTTCTGAAATTTAAATTTATTTGGAACTAAAATTTTGTGTTTCACAACCGTCAATGTCCTATGGCCGAGTACTACTGAGTTAGTCTAGTTTAACGAATGATCAATAGATGGCGTTAGCGTATTAATTCATTATGTGAATCACGACTTATTTAATCTAATACCTTTAAACGAGCAATTCTTGTAAAAATTGTTGCGCCATATGATTAAATAGTTCGATTGTAGGAAATGTGGAGGCCAGCGCCATCTAGTATCGACTAAAGTACATCTATTAAGATTGTAGTTAATATGAGTAGTTCTGATCCTTACAGCGCTAGATAGCGCTGCAAGTAACGCGTGACTGATTCTGGAATATTCGTGTTTGTTTGGAACGGACTTTCGAAGACTAGGAACTTTGTAGTAGAATTCAAAAGCGCTACAAAGCGGAGCGTGTCAGCCATTCGACACAGTTTTCGTTTTACAACACAGCGAATTAACATCGGAGTGAAGTTCTAGTGCCTTCAACAAGATATATAGTGATTTCTAAATACAGTGAAATAAAGTAATTAACCGACAACTTTTATTTATTATATATATAACGCTCGTAACAGTTTGTATAATCTGAATCTCGAAAACAGCTTCAACGATTTTCATGAAAGTATGCAGGGGGTTTCGGGGGCGATTAATAGATCAAGCTAGGTTTATTTTATGAAAATGTACCAAAAAAAATACCGAGCGAAGTTCCAGGTACTTAATTACTTATTGTATCAATTTGGTACATTTTAGAAACATATCTTCTTCTTGCCACAATCCTTCTGTTATTAGATATGAAGTAGGGGAGCCCATCTACCGAAGCGTTATAGACTATGCATACGCCATATAATTCTTCCACATCAAATAAAAAAAAAAAAACAAACCTTCAAGTAAAAATTGTACTTTTACCTTAAAAGCCGGTCGCGCAACGACTCTTAGTAGCATGCTGTCGCATGTGGTCGCTTACTATCAGTTGACTCATCCGCCCGTTTGCCTCTTACGTCATAAAAAGAATCATCCCTTTCTGGAATGCTAATGCTAAATCTCTATGCAAGAAAAACCCCAACTTATTCTTACATAACAATAATTAGGATTCCAACTCTTTCTCACTCTAACCCTTAAGCTCACTGTCTTTTTCGTCAACCTTAAAGAAAATCTCCAAGAGTCTTACCTTCTTCTAATTCTCGGTTGCTGCTACTACGTTCGTTTGTTTCAGAAGTTTTTAACTTTTCAGAAGATTCTGTTTTCCCTTTCTGGAAACCATCTTTCCCAAGCCGAAATCCACTAGACTCCTTCTTTTCATAGGACTCTTCTTTAACTTGTTTATTCTTGTCTTCATTTTCACTTTCTCTGTTGTAATTATACCCATTCCCTGATTCTGTAAATACAAAATATATGAAATGACTAAACACTTTGTCTTATAAATTTAACCATATCAGTGAGTGTAGAAGGCCTGGCCCTCCTTCTGGTTTAAGGCCTTCTCAGGCCTGCTTCTGCTAGGATAAAGGGCAGCCTCATCTTAACCCTAAGACCACCGCTCATGGAGCATCGTTCCAGAAATCGTTCTTTCTTCTCCGTCTCCTGTATATGCACAAAGGGGGCTTTAGGCACAAAGCCATTAGTCTCCTTACCTTCTTGTTTTTGTCTAATCCTGGACGTTTCTTCGTCTGTCTGCTGCGATGTTCCCGAGGTTTCTTTGGTTTGGGCATAATTCAGTCCGCCATCTTCGCCACCAATGCTTAGTTTCCTCGTATTTTTTGTTTCGTCCTTTTTATCTTCTTGATGACTTTTGTTGAATTCCGAGTCGGTTACGCTGCCATCTGCAGATAGTAAGGTTTGTTAAGTTTTGGTAACCCTTATTTTTATTGACGGGGTGTAAAATCTCTTTGGATCTCCAACAACAACAACAGAGTATGTGGTGTTTCCAATCCCGATAGGCGGGCCCCAAGCGCCCTACTCTGGGGAGGACCAGGATAATGTCAGGACCTCCCCGAATCGACCCTACACCTGACTAGGTCGCCTAACTGGGGGAAGCTGCAAACTTCTCCTAGGATAGGCCCGTCTTCCCCCCCGGGACTGTTAGCATTACGAAGCTGTAATGTAAAAGAGGAAAAGTTTTCAATTTCGGTTCTTAATATGCTTGTTTTCTCAGAATTTCGTTGTTTATGAACCGATTTGAGAGTACCTTTTCAGTTCGGGCTCATTTATGATGCCTTTTTATTAGATCATCATCCATCTATACAAATAAATAAAATTGGAGTGTCTGTTTGTAATATTAAAATAACCGCTTTTTACTAAATGCATATGTATGTTTACACGGTACATATGCCAAAATAACATTTATTACTCGCATTTGTCTGTTTGTTCCGGGTAATCTCATGAACGGCTGGACCGATTTCGACGGGACTTTCACTAGCAGATAGCTGATGACATAAGGAGTACCTTAGGCTACTTTTTTTAGACTAGCTTCGCCCCGCGGCGTTGCCCGCGGTTATAACAACAAACGCGGGTAACACCGCGGGTCTCAGCTAGTTATAATTAATTTTAGTAGTCCACTAGTGTACATAGCTATCTCCTTAGAAACGAGGTTTTGGCTTACTATACCATGCTGGCCAGACGGGTTGGTTGTTCTGCGTAGTTTTGTCCCTTAGTCGGCTCTTAGGGATGACACTCCGTCATCACCACACCATCACCACACGGATAATTTGATTAGATACTTATGGTTTTATCCATGAAGAGGAGATGTATGAAACATCTATGCAAATAAATAAAATTGACGTGTTTGTTTGTAATGTCAAAATAATAGGTTTTTTTCATGCTTGTTACACGGTTATTTGCACGATACCTATGCCTAAAAAACAGTTTAAATAATTTTCGTCTGTCTGTCTGTCTTTCTGTCTGATGACTGATTTTCATAATATTTTACTACCAAGTAAAATATTATGAAAATCAGTCAGTTCCGGGCATCGAACCCACTAAGGCAGTGCTTTCAAATTCCACGAGAACGTAGTCCAGCGGGTACCAGCTAGTTATTTCGATGTTTATGATGGAATGATGGATATTATTGCTTACCAGATCCAGTAGCATGGGAATTGCCTCCTACTTCAGAGCGTTTGTGTGATTCAGTGGCTTTATTGTCTTTTTGTTCCAATTGGAGGCCTTTTTTCTTGTTATAGGCAACACCAACTCCCCCATCTACCTTCCCGAGTGGTGTGCTCAGAGCTAAAAAAGGATCATAATGTATTATCTATGCGGATGTTCTTACGCTAAGGTTTCTTTATTTATTGCTTGAAGGCGCTAATATTTATCGGTCTCCCAATAGTCATGAGCATATAAAAACAATTATATTTTAAATTTTAGGGTTCCTTTCTGCTAAAGAAAAAAGAATCCATAGAATGGATGGACATCCTCTTGGGGGGAATGGATAGATGTAATTTTTCACAGAGGATAAAGATACATATTTTAGGAGTACCAGCTGCGTTAGCGTTGGAGAATCCCCCTCTGGACGTCCAGAACACCATACGTCTGGGCGTGGATGTCTGGGCTGCCCCGCGTATTCTGGGGGACAGGATATCTTCAAGAAAAGAGCGTACTCCTTCCTAAAAGGCCGGCAACGCGTTTGTGACTCCTGAGTTGCAGACGTTCACGGGCGGCGATGGTCACTTTTTATTAGGTGACCCGTCTTCTCGTCTGCCCCCACAATAAAAAAAAAACATAGATTAACGTTATAAAAATGACTTACCCTGCAACGGTTCGAGGGCCCCAAGCAACTGTAAAATAAATAGAACAAAAATATATTAATTTTGGATTCACTTCAAAAGAATGTTTAGATTCCCAATTCGATTGTATTTTACTTTTAAGTTTGTTACTCTAGAACTGCCTTAGTTATATAACGATTTGGATTTTTTTAATTTTATTTGGGATGATATACTTTCAGTTCGGTCTCATTCATATCTGAAGTAAAAATATCACTCCTGGAAGTGGAAAATTAAATAATAAAGATCGATGATGAGCATACGCGAGCTGAGCCAAACACCCCGTTTACACGCTTGTGGTTATGGACACTTGTCGAGACTCGCCATGCGTGTAAACGGCCTATAAAGAAGTAACGTTCTTATTCAATTCAATTCAAATTATTTATTTCGGACTATTACATCCATATAGTGTTAGTAACAATGTGTTTTAAAAACTAGTGTTAGTATTGAATAATATTATTATAGTGTATGTCAACATTATGTTATGTTAACATTATATTTATTCGATTATTATTTTTTTATCTTACGTGAATGGAAATCGTCCCAAAAGAGTCCCATCTATCTGAAAAAACATTCAGGATGCGGTTGGAGGAGGAGCGCAAACGCACCAGCATGGAGGCGCAACGTTTCCGCCTTATAGCGGTGAAACCGTCGACCTGTGCCTCTGCGAACATGACTGACGCGCTACATCGCCATGGCGACCCCAAAAGCACCCTGAATGCATTATTATACTGGACACGCATGAGTATTTGTCACTTATAAACTCACCAGAATAACGGTCAGCCCGCCCGCTATCTTCATACTGAAGTGATTTAAAAATATATATAAATTAGTTATTATATATACACACGAAACCTACAATTGTGTTTGCTTTCAGGCAAGCTGCTTAAACACAGATGCCAAATTTATTTGTGAATACACATAATATATTCAAAAATTCCTATTGTTTAACATAACTGATTTAAAGTTGGTAATACAAATAAAAGTTGTGACAAATACTCATGCGTTTTAGGAAATAGGGAAGGGAGGGCCTGTCCTCCGGAAGCCTTAATCAGTTGGTGAAATACAACGAGTCAATGGCTTAACTTGCATTAGTCGAGAGGACCTATGTGTGTGAAGAATGACCTAGTGGTGTGGAGTGCTAATCTAGAGGGTTCGATTCAAACCCAGGACTAATGATATGTGATGAGTACGACCATTTGTTTTGGGTGTCAGGGTCATCATCATCGGAGCGTTAATCCCGGTCGCGTCCGGTGACGACAGGGGTCCGCTTTTCCGACTCATTCTCCTCCACTTCGCACGGTCTTCGGCATCTCGCGTTGTTGGCACGCATATCATGCCTTGCGACGTTATGTTTTGGGTGTCAGAAGTCCCTGGGTATAATTTATTATATAGTTTTTCGGTTCATGTACGCAGCATAACGCCATCTAGTTTCAAACTATACAGAGCTTGTACTATAAAATCTAGATTGACTGATAGAGTACGTATATACTTTTTTTTGTAAATACATACATATTATACATAGAAAACACCCAAACTCCGAATCAAATAATGGAAAACATACAAACAATACATACAAACAAGTACCCGTAATTAGTGTACCATATAGTGGACAAATTTTAGTATATAACTACCCTCATTCACTTACATTGTAATAAAGTGTAAACTCTCGACAGCTCAAACATAAACCTATGTGGTTTCTCCAGAAGCTGTCGTTTGGTACATTTTCTCTGTCAAGTTGTTTTATGTGATAAATAAATAAAAAAAAAATAAAAAAAAAAAAAAATTGGTCCGACCCGGTAATCGAACCCGAAAGCTCAGAACAGCAGTCGTATACGCTACCACTGCACCACCGAGGCAGTAATCTATATCTATGCAAATAAATAAAATTGAAGTGTCTGTTGGTAATGTCAAAATAATAGTTTTTTTCATGCTGCTGTTATTTGCATGATACCTGTGCCTAAAAACGAGTTCAAATATTTGTTCTCTGTCTGTCTTTCTATCTGTCTGTTTCTTACGGGTAATCTTCAAAACGGTTGCACCGATTTTGATACTATTTAACTACCAGGTAGCTGTCTATATAAGGAGTAACTTAGGCTATTTTTTCTCTCAGAAAAACCTTAAAAAAATTTACCCGGTCCGGGAATCGAACCCACTGAAGCAGAATAAAAAATTCCACGAGAACCAAGTCGCGTGCACCGGGTATAATACGAGTACGTATGTATTTAGTAATATATAAGTATTTTTATTTTGTAAATATTATGTGGCCGGTTGACAGCAATAGCTTGTCCCATATTACGTAAGTGGCACTAAAATTATGGTCCATAAAATGTTGGCTTTAAATACACCTCTGTCGGCCCCTTCGGGGATGAAGATGTGTGTGTATGGATGTGTATGCACGTGTATACATGTATGTATGTATTTTTAACCAAGTCTGAAAGAGTAGGTTTTCAATACGACAGTTTTTTGTGTACATGACGCGGTGTCTTCGCCATTTTGTACACTGATTTTGAATAATACTATATAACTGCAAGGGTTAAAGACTAGGGGTTGAAGAATACAGTTTATTACAATTTACTAAAAGTTCTTTTTTTTAAGTTATTTTTTTTCTGAATTCGAAAATTGATGAGTATCGGAACTATTCTAGTTATTTTACTGTTTTTTTTTGTCTTGTCTTATAATTGTTCTCTAATCTATTTAAATAAAAATCAATGTTAGTTGTTTGGTACGTACTATAAGGATCTTGTGTCAAAAAGAGTTAATTTCCGGGCCTCAATTCTGCTACTTTAATATTGTATCAGTAGACTAACCATGTAAGACCAATGGCCTCCCAATGACTTGTCACTGATACAAATGTCGTCGATGTCTTTATAATAGCTTGGTAAACTTAACATTTTAAATTTATTAGAAAATGTTATATTCAATTTACCAGGTATGGCAATGTTGTTGATATCACCATTGATGATCTATACTACTAAATCGACAGTCTATTGACACTGTGAATTGATGTTAGTAGAATACTGATATTTTGACCGATGTCAATGGCGTCTCAATGGAATGACAGAGGCTTGGCGTTAACATAAAATAGCAGAATTTAGGCCCCGTTCGTTTGGGCGATTCTGTTATATTATACAAATCAGATATAGCTTACTTAGGACTTATAATATTTTGTGTTCGTGGTGCTTCGTGTGTTTAAAAGTGTATACCTATTTTTATTTCCTGTTGTTTCCTTCTTTGCTAAGGAGGGAAGTGGATTTATTATATTTCCAACTCCTCCAATTTACTTCTGATTAATTTCGTTGCGTGTTCCAAGACGGTTTATTTTTCTTAGGACCTCCCAACTGTCATAACACCGATGTGCAAGAGTTACAGTGGTGGCCGTGTGGGAGGGATTGGTCCCGTTAAAAGTATGATTGTCCTCTATGCGTTTGCCAACCATTGATCAGAATGTTTTTGGATCAAAATTTTGTTTAATATCAACTTTCGTTACCATTATTTTACGTGGTATTGCAACGCATTCCGAATGCAGCTAATAAAGATGAAAATACATTCCTAATGATTTTCCAGGAATTTCTTTAAGCAAACAGTAGGTACATATATATTCCAAAACGAATAAAAATTATAAATCATAAAAATCCTGCATTTGCGTAAGCCCTTGTTTCCAAACTGTTCAAATAACATTACCAGTGGCCATTGAACGTAACTCTTTTATAAATACAGCCACTTAACTAATTATACCAATATTTGTTTTGTTTTATTTGTCTATGACGCTACTTACGCCAATAGTTACCGAAATTACAAAATGGCGATGACGTACTTGACAGTAGATTATATTCATTTACTGAAGTGCTAAAAACGTGATGTTAAATCGTCCTCAACAGCCTTCAATGGTCCATTGCTGGCAATAGACCTCTCCTTAGAAAGGAGGTTTTGCCCTACCACGCTGGACAGACGGGTTTTTATAGGGTGTGTTTCAAGTTTTCCTTATCTTTGCATTGTTGTTGACCTGCATAGTTTGCTTCCTTAGTCGGCTCTTACGACACCCACGGTATGAATAGGGGTGGTGAAACTCCGTATTCTTAATTCGTCACTACACGGTTTAAATGGGTACCACATGTAGGTACGTAAATATATTTCGTTTTAACGCTCGTTAACCTATAACTAACATTATTTAATAAATATTCTTTCTTACACTAAAATGATTACTTAACACGTTGGACGCCATGTGGCCCACCATGTGTGCCAAGAGAGAAAATCAGTTGGAGCCAAAGCAAAATCTTATTTCTGATATTTTTTCAAATGTTGTTTTATTACACTAATCGATGAGAAATATGATATTTGGTACTACTAATTAGAAACAACAGCTTGTGTATGACTAAATCCTTAGATTTAGTAAAATGGCACACGGGTGGGCCGCGTGGCCTAATTGGAAAAAAATGCGTGTTTCGTTCCGCGGGGGCCACGGGGTCACACTGCGGCCCACCCGCGCACCTCATCATTTTTGCTGTGATTATTGCCGTGATTAAGTTTTCTATTGTTTATAATGGATGTAGATGCCTTTGAAGACTTTGTTATAAGTCAAGAGGACTTAGCAGAAATTGAAAATGTTGAGATAAACCTCCTAAATAACAGTTTTCAACTAAGTTCGGATGAAGAATTGAATAACGTTTCATCACGTACGAAGAAAGCGACTGTGAAAATAGGGTTTTTCCTAATACTTCAGGTAAGTAATTATATTTATAATTTTGCTGTTACAGGCCACACACTGTATACCGATAATTGGTACACAAGTGTTGACCTGGCCCGAAAGCTGTTAAATAGTGAGACATATTTAGTGGGCACCCTCAGAAAAAACCGGCAAAACATTCCGAAAAGTGTTGTATTTTGCCAACACATTGCCGAAACACATTGCCAAGGAAAGCGCAGACTGTATCACTATAATGAAATGGAAGGATAAAAGAGATGTCCTCGTTTTGTCTACTAAGCACTCTGTACGTTTTCACAATGTTACAAAGCGTGGAAAAGTGATATCCAAGCCGCAAATAATTGTAGATTACAATAAAGGTAAAGGTGCCGTCGATTTATCGGATCAAATGACTTCGTACTCTAGTCCGTTGCGTAAATCCGTAAAATGGTACAAAAAAACTTGCAATTCATTTACTCTTGAATACATCGATGGTCAATGCTTTGACATTGTACAAGAACACAACAAAGCAGAGCATTCAGGTAGTGAACTTTAGAACACAAATTTTAAAGAATTTATCCAACCAAGGCGAACAAGTTGTGATAGTACAAAGGCCGAGGACACTGAAGCATATTTTGGCCAAGAAAGATGGTACAGCTAGAGTAGCTAGACGAACCTGTCAACAATGCTACAAGGAAAATGCTAAGATAATGGGTGCAAAACTGGCCAAAAATAAATCAAAAAAGGTGGTAACTTATTGCACAAGTTGTCCAAATAAACCGTGGTTGTGTTTGGAATGTTTTAACAAAATTCAGTCCAAAAATATTTTATTTTTCATTTATAGTTGTGTCATATACTGGCGCCATTTAGCAGACTGATTTTGTTGGATCTCTTTTAGAGATTTATTTGAATTTTAGAGCAGTTTTTTTTAATTAAAGAATTTTTTATTTTGCCATAAATAAATAATTTAACCTTTGTTTATTATTATTATTTATTTATTATTATATTTATCTTTCTCTCTCTCAGAGAAAGATAAGACTTAAGAAACTTGTGTCATACCTATTATAATCTAAGTTCTCGGTGTTCTTTTTTGAGCCCTATAACAAAATAAGTGTTAAACTTTTAAAAACTATTTATACAATATCCATAATAAAAATATTACGTTCAGATTCAATTATTTTTTTCTATAAAAACCCCTTTTACCAGTTTATTGTGTATGAAGTTTAGAATAACCCCAAAAAAGTAATGAAAATCGTAAATATATTCTAAGTCTTTTGCAACACACGAAAACCAAGCTGACTAGATTGTTCTATAGGGCCACGCGGCTCACTCTCTAACATTTTTGTATGATATCTTTGCTTGGTGGCCTGTAAAACAGGTTTGAATCGAAGTCCTCCTTTGGGTCACCGGTGACCCCCGTGGCTCCAACAGCTTAACATGGTTTGGCCCACTGGTGTCCCCCATGGCTCCAATGAAACAACCTGCTTTTTGTGTGGCGTTCAACGTGTTAAATTTGATAACTGGTTGTGTTTACTACGTTTAATAAAAATACACAATCGGTCAAACATTTTTTTCAGACAAATCCAAGAATTTTAGAAGGATAACTCTAACATCGAATCGTTCTCGTCACACAATATTAATTGACTTGGGTGGGAATCGAGTCCACGACCTCTAAGTTAGCAATCAGGATCGCTAACCATTATTTATTGGAACGAAGTTCCTTATCGCGCGTTGTGAAAGGGGGCTAGACGGAAAAAATTCTTACGAAAATTGGTCACGACACTTTTTATTTTGAATTGTCACTTGTCAGTCATTCAGCGCCATCTATCGAATAGTAAAATTAAAATTTATGTTCTTAGGTTGAGCAAAAAATATTGTATTCGACATCATTTCTCAAGGAGATTTTACCAATGTATAAATTGTTTTAATTAGAAACCAACTGAAAAATATGTAGGTAATAGCCGCTTTCATAGATGGCGTTGTAATTAAAATCGTGTCTAATCAGTTTAACTCGATCGTAACAACTTCGTTCCTATCGGGTGTCCCACGACACCACACGGCTTTTTTACTTACACGAATAAGTACTCAGAAATGTTAGCTTTATACTCATTTTCCATATCATCATCAGCCTATCGCAGTCCACTGCTGATAGATCGATATTAGGCTTCTCGTATCCAGCTCCTGTCAGCCATCTTGCGCAAATCGTCACTCCACCTGGACCCGGGCTCCAATCAAGAACTCGTATGTTCTATATAGACACTAAATATTTCAATTTCTCTTTCCACTGTAAAGAATATACAAATAATCTTATTATTCACATAATATAAAGTCGCTTTTTTTCTTGTACGCTTAGATCTTTTAAACTAAGCAACTAAGCAACGCAAGCAGCGATTTTAATGCACCAATAGAGAGAGTGATTTAAGAGGAAGGTTTATATGTACAATACATGCATATTACACTAGAGAAACTACGAGAATTTCAAAGCAGTGTCGTAAAAAACATATTTTTATGCGCTTACATTGCAAACGCTGGCTAAACCTTACGATATAATCCAAAGTAATGTACAACGGAGTTGCTTATATTAAAAAGATCTACAAGAAAATCGCTATATCTGTCTCGTAGGGATAACCCATAGTAACCATTTTTATCTTTTAAATATTACAAAAAAGTAATGGTTTATTTACAAAGCTATTTTAAACAATACATATATTATTCCTTCTCCAATTAAATACGTTAGATACGTTGTGAATTTAATGAAGATTAAAATAGCTCTTTACAGAATGTCATTAATATGAATATCTTAGAAGATATTAGAGGTTTAAAATGCGGGGGCAAAGCGGCCGTCGCTGATAAATATTGCATAAAAAGATGTCCTGCAGTACATAGTCTTATCATAATAATAGTATTATTAATTATATTACTCCACACTGACACCACAGTATTAGTAGTACACAATGCAACCCGTACAAAGCCGGGGCAGATTTGTAGTTTACTATAAGTACATAGTCTAATCTACTTAATTATACCTTTACTGTTACGGCCACCCTAACAAAGACGCGTGGCGCCATCTGTTATTACGAAAGGGTACTACGACATGCCCAGAAATGGTGCTAGCATTTCGTAATGAAGAAACGGCAAAACAAACTACGGGTCTAAGTCTGCATAAACACAAACTATTCAATTATACCTTGTACTCGTCAAGGGTAGTTTTCAAACGAAAGAACTCAAACATTCCACATCTTAGGAAACTCTACGACACGAACCACAGTCCAAGTCCACCACGGCAGTTAAATATTTCACAAAATCAATGAAACACTCTAAACTGTTAGATTTTTTTGAAATAAAGCTAATAATGTAATTACAATTTTTTAGAAACAAAATATGAATAAACGCAGAGAAATCTAGCTAGTTGCGGATTTATTTTTAATAATATTATTAACTTAATTGTTGGAATATGGGTGGTCTATTCTCTAAACAATCATGTTTTATTGTGTTAGTACTGTGTGCTCATGATCAACGTATTGAAATGAAAACTTCTTTAGGCGCGTTGGGCATTTTGAACAACAAACAGAAGGCTTTTTTGGCCACTTAGTAAAGTGGCCAAAAAAAGCCTTCTGTTTGTTGTTTTTAATTTTGTTTTTAATTAATAAGTAGTGTAGTAACACTACTTATTAATGATATTTAAGTTGTGGTTTTATTTTGTAAATAACGTCCTAGCTTTAATATGACGCTCCCGACCATAAGTTGTATTTTATTTACCTTCTCAAAACGCAAAGCTATAAGTGTAATAAATTCTAAATATTATTACACTATGTTCAAACCGTAATAATTTTCACTAACGCCATCTTCTGTTTCAATTTCTAAAACTAAATTAGAAACGTTTAAGAACAGAATGCAAAAGTGACAGACATTTTTTTATTTAAAACTTAATGCACTTTTTGTACAAAGGCGGACTTAATGATGGATGCGGTAGGTGCAGAGATAATATATTTTACATACTTCAACAATTCTTCCTTTTCACTTCGTTTCAAGAATCCTATTTTTTTACTGGTGGTGGTCACAGCTAGGCATGGGACAAAATCACAGTGAACTGTGAAAGACCGGTGATTTATCATTCGATTTTTTCGTACTTAGGTAAGGGTCACTACTTACTCACGCGTTGTTGCCAAGAAGCTGTTTTCAGACGATTCAACTAAGTATTTATTATATATAACTACCATTCCCTACATTATAATTTATAGATTTACATAGATTTGCTGTTGAATAGCGTCTAAAATACCTACCTAGCAATCCTAACCTACGTACGCAAAAATGGAATGAAAATTCACAGGTCACTGTGATTTTGTCCCATGTCTAGTCACAGCTATTAGTTATTTAAAAACAGAACAAGGCGACTGATTTTATTAATGTTTGTCGATCCTTTGATATTTTTCATACATTATATTCGAAAGGGCAAATAATATCATGTTACGAAACAAACAAGCAGACAAGTGAACATATTAGCACATATTCAGTATGGGTGTTGCATGAACTTGGTGAACACATGTTGAACGCCAGTCAATAAGGAAAGTATGTAATATTTAGAAACCAGCAATGCTTACTAAATACTAAACGTTTAATACACTTTCTCTAGTTTCAAATCATATTTTAGAGCTATCTATAGGCCTCACCTCATAGTAGTTTACTGTTTACATCTTTTTTTTTTTTCTTTTCCGTGCGGAAATCCCCTCAGATACCACCTATCGGTGGCATGTCGGACTCGAACCGACTAAAACCGCACGCCGTCTCGGGTACTAATAGCCGGGGAACCAGGTATACCCTAGAAAGGAAGTCCCTGGTGCCCCGACATACCTCGGGCCATCTACAGACGAGTAGACAACCCCCCCTCCCCGTGTGGGAACCCCATGTTCCCTTTGCCCCCTGGAAGCGAACGCGCTCGCCGCCACCCCGGCCTGCTTCTGCTAGGGTGACAGATGGCCTCACCTGTCACCCCCAGGCCTGCGCTTATGGAGGACGGAGGTCGTTCTGCGACCTCCGGCGCCTGAGTCGCCTGCGGTACCTGGCCCGTTCCCGGGCCTGGCGGGCCGGGAGAGTTCTAAACCTCTCCCGGTCCCGCTCCGCCGTTTTCTTCGCGAGCATAACTTGCTCGCAGAAGGAGACGGCAGAGTTCCACGCACTATCGCTCCGCACGATAGCCACAATCAGGCTATCGAGCGAGAGAACTCCCACTCCGATGGCGGCCACGAGGTCTCGCCTCTGATCAACCCACGCCGGGCACTCTGCCAGCGTGTGGAGAGCCGTGTCCACGGTCTGGCCATCGCAGTGGTGGCACTCAGGCGTTGGCGCCTACCGGATCAGACACAGGTGATCCCCGAAACATTCTTTCCCAGTGATCATCAGTATTTTGTTTTCTTTTATTTTCTTTGCAAAAAGGAGACTTTTTTTTTCTAATTTGCAACATCGACATTATCAATCAAATGTCAACATTGTCAACTACGTCCGCGTCCGGCTGTCGTAGTTTAGAATTTTTGTAAACACGATTCAAAAAGGATTATTATAATAAAATGACTGCAACTACACCTGAAAGATCGTCTTGTATATTCTGTAATATAGTTAATAAATTAGATCATGCAGAAATTCTTTACGAGGATGATGATGTCTGCGTGTTTCCAGATATAAAGCCAGCCAGCAAATTTCACATATTAATAATACCTAAAAGACATATACCAGACGTTAAATGCCTCACGTCTACTGATAAGGACCTGGGTAAGCTATTTAATCTATGATTACCGACATCCAATCATAAGATAAGAAATAACTTACTGATTAACCCCGACTCTGCGTACATTTGGATTTGCGGCTCAAAATTTAGTTCTAACCATAGTAAAGATCTTTCAATTGGTCTAACATACACCATGATTATTTAAATTTGGAATGTTTTGATTAATTTAATTGACCTTGTAGTGATAATAATATTGTAGACTTTCAATACGATATTGGACACATGTAGCCTGGTGCAGCTGTTTGCAGATGTTTAAAATTTTAAGGATTTAAAAAAAAAAAATTGATTTATAAAAAAAAAAAAAGTTATTTTATAGTAGTATATAGATAGATAAATAGAGTATTTTAAATTCCTTCAACCTTCAATTTTCTTATAGGAAACTGAACTAAACTAGACATACACTGACTGCACTGATGGCGTAGTGGTTTAAGCGGTCACCACACACTTCCTGCCACTGAGTGTTGTGGGTTCGCTCCCCACATGGGACACCACTTTGTGTGATCCACAAATGGTTGTTCTGAGTCTGAGTATTCAGTGTGTGTTTCATGTACACTAGTGACACAGGATATATATTCCTAATGAGGGAGTTGTCTTTTTAAAAAAAAAACTTATGTTGATTATTCCTAAAGGGGAAGATAGGCAGGCAGAGGCCCACATTGGTAATAACTCAACTGGGCACATTATATATCTAAATCAATATAATAGATTTATATATTTTTAAATATATACATATCTAAACAAATAAATAAAATGGAAGTCTCTGTTTGTAATGTCAAAATAATAGTTTTTTTTGTCTGTGTGTGTTTCGGGAAGTCTTCAAATCCACTGGACTGATTTTGATAATATTTTACTACCAGGTAGCTATCTATATAAGGAGTAACTTAGGCTAATTTTCCTCTCGGAAAAACCTTGTAAAAAATTTGCACAGTCTGAGAATCGAACCCCAGGCTTCATGGAATGCAATCTATAAACTATGATGTGAAGTTATAAATAAATTGTCATCAACCTAGTTTTTAGTTAATTGATAGTCCACTGTTGGACATAGGCCTCTCCTTTTAGTTGGGGGATAGGAGGTTTTGGCTTACAATACCATGCTGGCCAGACAGGTTGGTACAGGGCTTGTGTTAAGTTTTCCTTCTCTTTGCACTGTTGTTTTCCTGCATAGTTTGTTCCCTTAGAACAGTCACGGGATGAAAAGGGGTGGTGACAAATATATTGTTCCCAGACATAAAACAAATAATCATACTAACCAACAGCCTTTACTAGTCCACTGCTGAACATATGCCTCGTCTTAGAAAGGAGGTTTTGGCCTACTATATTGAGTTATATGAAATCTTTTTGCACACTATGTTATCTCGTCTGTGAGCATCTTTCCATTGTCATAAAAAAATAGTTTATTTTTATTTTTTCAGTTTCCAAAATGCTCTCAGTGGCCAAAGACATGTTGACAAAAAATAATATTCTGACGCTAGACGATACTCGTCTTGGTTACCACTGGCCACCCTTTCGGAGCGTGAAGCATCTACACCTGCATGCAATCTCACCGGCATCGGAGATGGGTTTCATATCTGGCTTGATATTTAGAAAGGATTCCTACTGGTTTGTGTCGGTGAGTGTGAACGATAATAATAATTTTACACATCTTACACACGGCAGTCTAATCCCGAACTAGACATAGACTACTATGGTAACCAGACTCCTGATAAACACAGATATATTTCTGAATACATACATACTGTAGATAAATTACACCCAGACACATAACAAATGATCATGCTCATCACATATTTGTCCTGGGTGGGAATTGAACCGACGACCTCCGGTTTACTAGTAAGGTTCACTAACTGCTAGACCTACACACCTGTCATAAATGTCCACTAAGCTAACATTTATTGACAGTCTATCTTTTTTATTGCCGCTATAATAATAATAATAACCCCCCCGGGGGATCACCTTGCCGTGGTGGGGGGGCTTACGGGTATCGGGTACTGGTTATGATCTTAACAACTCATCATTGTGTTGGGTTTCTGCTTCTGGAGTGGCCGGAGACCTGATACTAGCACCTATCCAACTAACGATCCCAAACCCATTCAATGGAGCACCTTATGGAAACTGAGAAGAAGAAGTATAATTTACGGTCGCTTCCCGGGGAGCGCCGGGGCGCATCTGGAGCCGATGCTGGGTGCCACAGCATGCGAACCATCGGTGGTGGGACGTTGAGCAGGCGGACTCACACCAAACAATCTACTAACGCGTATGCTATGCAACGCCGATCAACCGAGCGATTACCTTCACCCTCACTTAGTACCACACAGTCAGAACATTCACTCTTCTCTAATATACCATCACCGTCTTCAACCCATAGCTTATTTCGATCACCCACCTCATCACTATTATCTACTTGTACATATTCATCCCGAACTACAAGGTCAACGGCTGCTGTGCAGGAGGCATTAGCCACTAACCCTGTACCCACTGCTGACCCTTCTCGTACGCGAAAGAAATGGTCTGAAGATATGAACCGTTTTATATGGCGTACATACCTTTTAATAACAAACTGCGAGACTTCACAAATGAACAACTATTTAGAAGCTTTGCATCGAGAATTTGACAATAGATATCCCGACATGCATGCCACTCGACAACGATTAGGAGACCAAAAAAGAGCCATAATTAGAAGAAAATTACTGTCACAACCTGTGTTAGACGAGATAGTTTTTGGAGTAAAAGAGCAAATAGGAGATAAAACCCTTAACCATTCACAGATACATAGTCACGACGATCCCACAACACGCAATAGAGCAAATGTTTTCAACAACAGTAGAATGAAATGGACGGAAGAAATGAACGATGATGTTATAAGATGCTACCTTGAAGCAACAGAACTGGAGACAAATAAGACTGCCTACCGTAAAAAACTTTATGATTTGTTTTTAGAAAAACATCCGAATTTATCTAATTTAACTGAACAGAGAATAGCAGATCAAAGAAGACTAATATTCATTAATAAAACATACACTAACAGAATAAATAAATTAAATCATGAAGTAAAGTTAAAGCTAACAGATCAAAATAACCAAATTTTACCTAACCTAAACGATTCTATTACTGAACAAACACACAACACACACGAAAGCCTAATAGACTGTACACTAACACTGACTGAAACAACCACAACAACTAATGCACAGAATGAAAACATCACGATTCATAACACGGATAGTAACAGTAGTTTAGATAGTAATAGGATAGAAATAGAATTTAATAAAGCTCTTACACGTTTCAATATAATTGATCCAGAAGCAAGACCATATATTCCAAAACAAAAGACGTCACGAAAATTTGCTAAAATTACTCAATTTCTAAATATCAATATTTTACCGAAACACTTAAACCACGAATTAGACTTTAGTTCATTACACACCTTAATATATTCAGCAGCCTATACAGCTGCTATTTGTAACGGCACTAAATTCAGCACTGAAGATTGTATAACCACTTATAAACGGAATAGGACGCCTGCATAGCAAAGAAGAATTGAAAGCAGAATAGAAAAATATAGATTAGAAATAGGAAGATTAACACAATACATGTCAGGAAATAGAAGTCAGAGAATACTAAAAACTGTAGAGGAAATAAAGAATAAATATAAAACTCATTCACAACACGAAGAACCTAACACAGAACCACAACATTTTCTTGACACACTAACAGAACAGAACAGAAATTAAACGCGACCGCAAATAGACTTAAAAGATATTTAAATTGTACTAAACGGAAACAGCAAAATGGAAACTTCATAAATAATGAAAAACAGTTTTATAGAACCCTAGGACATAATAATCAAATAACATCAAAAACTACAGAAATCCCCTCACCACAAAACCTTCATCAATTCTGGGCTGGCATTTGGCCATTTGGCCAGTGGCCAGTGCAACACAACACTCATGCCGACTGGTTACAAAAAATAGCAGACACATCAAACATTAACCAAATGGAGTTTGAAAACATCCCAGTTGACACATTCATTCAGATCATCAATCGCACACATAACTGGAAGGCACCAGGCACCGACAATATACACAATTACTGGTATAAAAAATTAACCTGCACACACCCATTCGTCCACAGTCACATTTGCAAATTCATTCAATCACCGCACACTTTGCCAACATTTATAACACAAGGGATCACATACATGCTACCAAAAGGTTCAGACTCCAAAAATCCTGCAAATTACAGACCTATCACATGCTTGCAAACTATATATAAAATTATTACAAGTTGCATTAGCGAAATTATTTACAGACACTTAAATGAATACAACGTGCTGGCAGAACAACAAAAGGGGTGTAAAAAAAATAGCCAAGGTTGTAAAGAACAATTAATCATAGACTCAATAGTAATGAGACAAGCCCAAACTAAAAATAGGAACATCCATATGATGTACGTCGATTACAAGAAAGCATTTGATTCTGTCCCCCATAGTTGGTTATTATATGTATTGGACCATTATAAAATTCACCCTGGTCTTATAACATTCTTAAGCACAGCCATGCTGCATTTGAAAACTAAATTAAAATTAATAAATAACGAGTTAACCACTGACTTGATAAAAATTAAAAGAGGCATATTTCAAGGAGATGCGCTTAGCCCGCTTTGGTTTTGTATGGCACTCAACCCCTTATCTGAACTGCTAGATAGTACAAATATAGGATTTAAATTAAGATGCAATAACTCATTCCACATACTCTCACACTTACTTTACATGGACGATATTAAAATTTATGCAACTAATAACACTGAACTTAATAAACTAACTGACATTACACAATCATTCTCGACAGATATTCATATGCAATTCGGGGTAGACAAATGTAAAACTCACTCAATCAACCGCGGCAAGACAGAATACAATTTTTATACACTTGATACAGGTGAACAAATAGAACCAATGGATGAACATACGACGTATAAATATTTAGGATTCCGCCAGTCTAGACAGATTCAGCAAAAACAGAAAAAATTAGAGTTAACACAGAAATTCAAAGCCAGAATAAGTCAGATTTTGAGAACCCAATTAAACTCACGCAATACCATCAAAGCCATCAACACAATACCAGTTCTTATTTATTCGTTTGGGATTTTAGCCTGGTCCCAGAGCGATCTCATTAAATTACAGCGCACAATCAACACACACATGACAACCAATAGGAAACATCACCCCAGATCGTGCACACAACGTCTTACATTACCACGGCAAGATGGAATGAGAGGTCTCAATAGACATACAGAATCTTTACAACAATCTTATAGATAAGTTACGCAAATATTTCTACGCCCAAGCCGGACAATCCCATCTTCATAAATTCTTAACCGACATAGACAAAAAATTAACTCCGCTCAACTTAAACGACACAAACATTCAACCAAAATTATTGAGCAAACAGCAGAAAATAGACTTATGGGCACAAAAGTCTCTACACGGCAGACATCTCGCCGATCTCAGCCAAACACACGTCGATAGAAAAGCGTCGAACGAGTGGCTGCGGCGTGGAGAACTCTTCCCAGAAACCGAGGCTTTTGTGATCGCTATTCAGGATCAGGTTATCGATACTCTTAACTATAAAAACACATAATCCGTACCCCTAACCTTCCTACCGACTTATGTAGACGATGCCATAGCAGTTCCGAAACCATCCAACACATCACTGGTTCTTGTAAATCTATTGTACAAACTGATTATTAACACAGACATGACCAAGTTGCAGCAATAATCCATCAAAATCTAGCTCACAAATACTCATTTATTTCAAATAAAACTGCTTATTATAAATATAAACCCAGTACAGTTCTAGAAAATAATGCATTTAAAATATATTAGGATAGGACAATAATTACCGACAAAACCATACATTATAATAGACCGGATATAGCAATACTAGACAAAACTAATAAAATAGTTTTTATTAAAGACATAGCAGTATGTAACACACACAATCTCCTCACGACGCACACAGAAAAGATGACTAAATACACAGACTTAGCAACGGAAATATAAAGGCAATGGCAGGTAGATATAGTTAAAATAGTACCCATTGTCATATCTACAACTGGTGTAGTACCGAAGACTCTTCAAGATAGCCTCAACACATTGGAAATGCCGAAATCCTCTCTCATACTCTTACAAAAAGCAGTCTTTCTTAACACATGCCGTCTCACACGCAAATTTCTTGCTTCATCCTCATCATCTTAACTTCATATCAACATCCCTTTTTGGCATACTTGGCTAAGGCCCGTGTGTTAGATTTTGTTACCCCTTTAAAATAAAAGGGAGACCAAACAAGGTATAAAATGACATAATAATAATAATAATAATTTATTTTCAGACTAAGTCCATATAATTTGTTAATAACAATATTCTTAGCCTAGTGTGAAATATCATATTTTTTATATAGGGCTGCTATACAAGGAACTGATAATTTTGGAATCTGGCTTTCAGTTATGTAAAGGTGGGCTAACGAGCTGACAGGTCCACTGACTACCCAAGCCTCGGAATTCCAATCCCTTCCCCCTAATTCTGAGGGGGGAGGACTAATAGGGCAAAAATGCACTTGTGACTCTTCTGACCATAGAGATATCTCTTTCTAGTCAAGCTCTGTGAATGGTTCTGGAAATTTCTAATCGCCCGCCTGTTCTATCTATCGAAACCATGTCCACTTCACTCTCTGACTCACTTACCTTCATGTAACCCAGCTGCTCGTTTGCTACCTGTACCTTAAAACTGCTGGCTTGGCCAGAGTGATACCATATCTTCACAGAGAATCGGTTTGATGCCAATCTTTCGTTGCATTTAACCAGGTGACTAATGGTGACTAAGGTAACAGGTGGTGCACCCCCTCCCCACTCTCCCTCCTTATGCAGCGATATCTCACTACTCACTGGATGGTTACGTAATGCCTTTTATTTCAACGAGTGACAAATGAGTGCTCGTTTACTATTTATTTATATAAAAAGCCGCCAAAAATGTATGGAATTTTTTTTATTGCAGCCTGAATACGTTGCGTCAAGACTATGAAGGCCAATACATATACTAGTCAATTTATTATATTTCTAAGGAAGATACATGAGGCTATAGTGTCATTTTTTTGTAGTTTTTAATGTTATGTTATTGTAATAAAATGTATAATTACAAATGATTATCGACAATTTATTTCGAACAAACTCGTTTCATTTCTGTACTACGTCCTTTTACTTTGATCCTGTAAAAAATACTGAACTTGATATATAAAGATAGAGACATCGAGAGACATAGACAACTAAAGATGGTCCAATTTCGACCATTAGGACCGGCCAAACCCGAACTCATGTATTAAAAAATTCAATATTTTTGGAAGTATTTTGTAAGTAATAATTTATAAAAGAAAGAGTGTCCTTATTAATATGTAAATTAAGACAACTGCAACAAATATTCGTGAGCACAGTAAGTGCCATTTTCAGACCCCATGCTATTGAATTCCTCCAGCATGGAACATCTATAAATTTATTATATTGGCAAAGTGCAACATTGTTATTTTACTAGCATCAGTACTATGACCGCCACATAGTGCTTCGTAGTCATTAAGCACTTAGCCGCTCTTAACTCCTTCGCCATTTTAGATAGTTCAAATGTAAAAATGGTTTTCATATAGATTTTTTAAAATAAATTTAGTACCATTAGAAACTAATCAAGCAATCGACTTATCTGTTCAATGGGTACAACACTATTGTTAGTAAAACTTCAGAAGTGTTGTCAGACGAGTATGTATCTAGAATAAACAATACTCTACGGAAAGTAATATAAATTTAAACTAAAAAGGACATCACAGGTACAGTTTTAAATTTCTTTTGGGGCTATTCATTCTATGTAAAAGAAGAAAGAAAAATAAACAGATTATAATTAACATAACCTTAAAAAGTCTACAAACTTTTTCTTAAAATCTAAACAATCAACATTATGACATTAGAGAATCAACACCAAAATTTAAGAAACTTGCATTTAAAAGAAAAAAAACATTTAAATATCTTCTGCTGGCTGTAGTCGCAAGTTGACTTGACATCTGTATGATATTCATTTATAAAATCAAGATGCGGCATTTGTTTTAAAATTACCATTTACGTAGTAAGGGGCACGCTTATGCTGTCTACTGAGCTCTTTAGGCATGAGATGGAACTTCACATCATCACATCAACAGCCTTTAATAGTCCACTACTGGACATAGGCCTCTCCTTAGAAAGGAGGTTTTGACAGGTAGATAGAACTTATTGGCAGTAAAATAAAAAAAGAGTTGGCAATGGTAGGATATAGCTTGCTGTGCAAGATTGCAAACCTGTAATTCACACAGGCTGTCGCTGTGTCCTTCGCCAAGTCTCAGAAAATAATAACTAAGTTACTATCATAGATCTGATGTGACTGCAACAATATGTATGGCGAATGGCTTAGTGGCGTAAGCGGAGCATTCTGCTTTCTACTTTGCTGAGTGTTGTAGGTTCGATGCCCATTTTGTGTGTTTCACAAATTGTTGTTCTTAGTCTGGGTATGCTTTGTATCCATTTCATGTATGTTTGTAAAGTCCCCTGCGACTCAGATTTTATTTTTAATGCGAGAGTTTCCTTTTAAAAAGAACATATTACATACACCTTACTCACTCACTCTTATATGCACGGATGGCATAGTGGTTTAAGTGGTCGCCACACCACTCACTACTACGCTGAGTGCTGTGGGTCCAATCCCCAGATGGGACGACACTTTGTGTGATTCACAAATTGTTGTCTTGAGTCTGGGTGTTCTTTATGTCCGTTAAATGTATGTTTGTAAAATCCCCTGCGACACAGGATTTATTCCTAGTGCGGGAGTTGTCAAAAAAAATTAATAAAACTGCTCCTTTCTATTACCATCTTGTATAAGTCATGTGCTGCAATTATTTATTAAGTGTTTTTGATTTATGCTGGGTTTTCAATTCCAGTGAGTACAATGGAAGACACAGAGCTAGATCCTTCAGAGCTTGGCACTCACGACTACTGGCAAAAGGCTTATAAGAAAGAGATAGAGAATTACAATGAGCACGGAGATCCTGGTGATGTCTGGTTTGGAGAGGACAGTGCGCAGAGAGTTATTAACTGGATATGTGACTGTGGGGTTAAGAAGGATGTCGGAATCATTGACATAGGTCTGGAAATATCCATTTTTTTTGCTGCTGGTTGAGTGTTATCTACACAAAATTTTAATAAACTTTAAATTAAATAGCTATAGAATAATAGCTTAACACTTGTAATCAAGTCTGCTTAATTTTTTTTTTTATTTTTATTATAACAGGTTTTTTTTGTTTTATTTCGATTTGAAACATTCTGACATGGATATACATGTATATTGTACGTATATACATAATATACAGTTATATTATCAACTAGCTGGTGCTCGCGACTTCGTTTGTGTTCAATTTGAAAAGCGCCGCCTTAACGGGTTCGATTCCCAGACCGGGCAAAATTTTATAGGAGTTTTCAGAGAAAAAAAATCGTTTCAGCCATTTAGAAGATTACCCAGAGCAAACAGACAGATAGTCAGACAAAAAAAAATTTAAACTGGTTTTTAGGCATAAGTGCAACATGAAAAACCCATGTCATATAAATTCCACCAGCTAGTTATTACTATGAATGTTGGTGATAAAATATTAAATCATCATCATCATCAACAGCCTTTAATAGTCCACTACTGGACATAGGCCTCTCCTTAGAAAGGAGGTTTTGGCCTACTATACCACGCTGGCCAGACGGGTTGGTATAGGGTTTGGGGTGCTGGGCTAGAAAACCTCCTCGTGGTGCACCCTGGAAACGCTGGCGATGGTACTGTTTCCTCCTTGTCCTCTTGGAGGAGAGGATTATCGCCAGCGGCCAATATTCTAGCAGAAGAGGCAGCCGTTCATCGGCTCTCGGGCAAGGCCTGGTCCAGCAGGGTGGGCGTGTCTGCCGGTTGCCCTGCTGGCTCTTCGCTCTTCGGAGCATGGAGGAGGAAACCTCGGTAAAAAACCTGATGGCGGGGCCCTGTAGGGGCCACAGTTTCTCCGCTGACAGCGGTGGAGAAAGGAGGACGGGCTCGGCGTGTACTCACACTACCACCGAGCAGGCAGGGGGACGTAGTCTCCCTGTCAACCGTCGGCATATCGTAATCCCGAGAAGAGCGCTGTGGTTAAGTCTCGCGGCTCTGATCGGGGGCGAGGGTCTTGGCTTAACCGCCCGGACCGCGAGGAAGATAACCTCTCTAAAAATTCCCCGAATCCCGTGTTCTGGTGCGTGGCCAGGGGATGCATGGCTGATGGGAAGTTCAGTCGCGAGCGCACTCCAAGCCGAGGTACCTGCGGACCCCTCGGTTGGGTTAAAAACTTACGCTTGCCCGGGTAATGGGGGATCTCTGCCCGGGTGGACCTTTAGTTCTCCCCCACTCGTGGGATCAATTATGAATTTGAATACAAATAAAAATACAAAGAAACGGACACAAACAGAAAACAAACAAAACCAGGCAAGCAAAACGGACACTGAAACAAAAGGTGCAAGGGAGAAGAGGAACAGTGGAGTCGATGGGTCGTCCACTGAAGGTGAGGTGGCGTCGGGGACGCCCATCTCGGTGGGGCTCCCAGAAGTCAGTCTGACTCTGATCTCTGGGAGCCGAAGAGCATCGGATCGGCTGCGTTCCGGATCCGCCGCTTCGTCGGATGGCGCGGAGGCCATGGAGGCGGAACGAAGCGACAGCCGGAAACGCGGACGCTCCAGGGACGAGGAAACGGATACGTCCCAAGAAATGATGCCACCAAAGGTGGCAAGCAGCCGCCGAGGGAGGCAACGTAAACCGGCCTCGGCCTCGGTCTCGACCCCGTCAGGCTCCGCGTTCTCAAACGCGGAGTCCTACAGAAGTGTACGGGTGGACGGCGAGGCCGTAGCGGAGGAGGAGATCGCGGATCTCCTGCTCAAGGTTCGGGAGCCGGTGGGGGGAAATGCCCCCCAGGCTCCCGTGTCCGTGCAGGAGAGGGCGAAAGCGGCGGTGGCCGTCATCAACAAGGTGGCCACCAAATCCGTGAACCTTAAGGGCTCGTTTGTGAGGGCCCTTAAGGACTCCTCCTCCGCTTTGTCGGAGGTCGTGGAGGGCCTAGCGGGCGACGTCTCTCGCCTGCAGGTGGCCAACGAGAAGCTGACGGAGCGGGTGAACGAGCTGAGCGCTCAGTTCGCCCGCTTCCAGGCGAACCTCCCCGAGCGGGAAGCCCCGTCCGCGTCCCAGCCTGCCCCTACCACCAACTCAGGGGCATTTGACTCCCAACTGCGAGAAATCCTCATCGCAGTTGGGAATATGCTGGACGGACGCCTGGCTGGCCTGGAGGCGAGATTGCCTCCTGCGCCGATTATGCGCCCCCCGCTCGCGTCGGCACAGCGGCCTAAGGCCGCCGCTCCGACCGCGCTCCCCGTTGTGGGAGGCCGCGTTTCTTACGCGGCGGCGGCGTCTGCCCCTACTCCATCGGCTCCACAAAAGCCGAGGAGGGGGGCCAAGGCACCGGCCCAGGCGCCGGCCAAGGCACCGGCTAAGGCGCCGGCCAGGGCGCATCCCCAGGCGCCGGCCAAGACGGGGCCTAGAACAGCGCCGAGGAGCGGAGTGGCATTCCCTCCGCTCCCCACTCCGACACCCCTGCCGGGCCCCTCCGCACCTGCCCCCTCCAACGAGGGTTGGCAGGAGGCGAGGGGCTCCAAGAAGTCCCGAAGGCGGGCCAAAAAGGCTGCCAAAAAAGCAGCCCAAGCCCAGCCTTCGCCACCGGTGGCAACGGCCTCCACAAAGAGGCCGCGGAAGCTGCAGCCGCCCAAAACCGCGGCTGTAGTGGTGACCGTGTCCCCGGAGGCGGCGGACGGCGGGCTGTCCTACGCGGCCGTTTTCAAAAAGGCCCGGGACAGCCTCGCCAACGATTTTGGAACGGTGGGGGTCAGGATGCGCCTCGCCCAGACGGGAGCTCGAGTCCTCGAGTTCCCTGGGGCTGAAGGCGCAAAGACGGCGGACTCGTTTGCTGAGAGGCTGCGGGGTATATTCGCGACTACAGATGGTGTGAGGGTCGCCAGGCCTACCAAGTGCGCGGAGCTGCGCATCTCGGGCCTGGACGACTCTGTGACGGCCGAAGATGTCCGCGCTGTAATCCGGGAGAAGACGGGGTGCAGCGCGGACAACGTCAGGGTCGGCACCATCCGCCCCGGTCCAGGGGGGCTTGGCGCCGTGTGGGTCAGCTGTCCCGTAGCGTCGGCCAAAGTATTGGCCGACGCCGGCAGGCTGCTCATCGGTTTCGTGAGCGCCAGGATCACAGTCCTGGCGGCGAGACCGATGAGGTGTTACAAATGCCTAGCATCGGGGCACACGCGCGTCAAGTGCCAAAGCTGCTTTGACTGCAGCGGACTCTGTTTCCGCTGTGGTCGACCGGGGCATGTGGCGGTGGAATGCTCTGCCGCCCCTCACTGCCCGGTGTGTGCGGCGGGTAACAAGCCCGCCAATCACCAGATGGGGCAGGGGGGCTGCAAGCCTCCCCGCAACTCTCAGCAAGCATCGGGGGCTAGCCAGTCGACCCAGGCTGCCTCCGATGTAGTTCGTGCGTCGACGTCGTCGCCCATGGAGGAGGCTGTAGAGACGATCCAGTAATGGATCGGGTCTCCAGCCTCCTGGTCCAGACGAACCTGAACCACTGTGCCGCGGCGCAGGATCTCTTCCTGCAAACCATGGCACAGTGGTCGATAGGTGTTGCCGTAGTCGCGGAGCCCTATTCTGTCCCTCCCCGTCCAAACTGGATGGGTGACTGGGACGGCTCCGTGGCAGTCGTCGGTTCCACGACGGCTCATTCCCCGCCCTTGTCGCTAAGAGACAAGGGCACTGGATATGTTGCCGTCGAGTGGGGGGGGATCATCATATATGGTGTTTATTTCTCCCCCAACCGGAGTTTGAACGACTTCGAGGTTTTCCTAACCAGCTTGGAGACCTCGATACGGCGACTAGCGTCTGGGCACGTCCTTGTGCTGGGGGACTTCAACGCAAAGTCCATTGCGTGGGGTTCCCCCAGGACGGACGCAAGGGGCGAGGCCGTAGAGGAGTGGGCGGCCTCGGTGGGCCTCTGTCTTCTAAACAGAGGCTCCACCAACACGTGCGTGCGACAGCAGGGGGGGTCGATAGTGGACCTCTCGTTCGCTACCCCTGCCCTCGCCGCACGAGTAAGGAACTGGTGTGTCCTGGAAGAGGTTGAGACGCTCTCGGATCACCTGTATATCCGATTTGAGCTCTCCCGGACCCAGGACTCCAGTAGGGGTCACGTGGCGCGGCGTTTATCCCGCTTTCCGCGGTGGGCTGTTGCCAGGCTGAACCGGGACCTACTAGAGGAGGCAGCCATAATTCACTCGTGGCTGTCTCCTCAGGCTCCGACCGAGGAGGTCGACGTGGGGGCTGGCCGCTTTCGCGATGCGATTACGCATATCTGCGATGCGGCCATGCCCCGCATTCGAGGTCGTCTGCCTCCAAGGAAGGAGGTCTACTGGTGGTCCCAGGAGCTGGCGGACCTCCGTGCGGCCTGTACACGTGCCCGGAGGTCCTACACACGCAGTCGGCGGCGTCACCGTGGAGACGGTGAGGAGGACCGGCTTCATGAGGAGTACCGGCGGGCGCGGAAAACTCTGAAGCTGGCCATTAGCCGCGCCAAAGAGGAAAAGAGACAGGAGATGCTGGAGGGTCTTAATCGTGACCCCTGGGGTCGCCCTTACCGCGCGGTGCGACAAAAGCTCCGCGCGTTGGGCCCCCCCCTTACGGAGACTCTCCAGCCCAGCTTCCTGCAGGAAGTGGTCGAGGGCCTATTCCCGCAGCGGGCGGAGCACACACCCCCGTCGATGGCTGCATCAGCCGGAGACGACGGGGGCAGCGAGGTCGATGTTCCGCCCGTCAGGGAATCGGAGTTGGGGGCGGCTGTTCTACGGATTCGATCCAAGAACACCGCCCCCGGGCCGGACGGGGTTCCAGCCCGAGTGATGGCCCGAGCCCTCGACTACATGTCGGACCACCTCAGGGGGGTGTTGGACGCTAGCCTGGCGTCCGGACGCTTCCCTGAGCGCTGGAAATGCGGGAAGCTGGTCCTGCTGCAGAAGCCGGGACGGCCTGCCGATTCGGTCGCGGCCTATAGGCCCATCGTGCTGCTGGACGAGGCGGGCAAATTGTTTGAGAGGGTTCTTTCTGCCCGCATCGTCCGGCACCTCTGCGAGGTGGGCCCCGATCTGTCGGACGCCCAGTTTGGTTTTCGGGCGGGGCGTTCGACAGTCGACGCCGTGTTGCGCCTGAGGGCCGTGACCGAAGAGGCCGTGAGCTGTGGCGGCGTGCTGTTGGCGGTGTCACTGGACATCGCCAACGCATTCAATAGTCTGCCATTCAGCTGCATCAGGGAAGCACTCCACTATCATGGGGTGCCAAAGTACCTGAGGCGGCTAGTGGCAGACTATTTAGAGGAGCGTACCGTCGTGTACGAGGACCGAGAAGGTAATTTGAGGTGTCGGCCCATGTCGTGCGGTGTTCCACAGGGGTCTGTTCTTGGACCCCTCTTGTGGAACATAGGGTACGACTGGGCCCTTCGCGCCGATTTCCCCCCCGGGCTGGGTGTAATCTGTTACGCAGACGATACCCTGGTGACAGCCCGGGGGGCAAACTTCCAAGAGGCGGCGCGCCTGGCCACAGGGGGAGTCTCCCTGGTGGTCGGGCGCATTGAGGCGCTGGGCTTACGGGTGGCCCTAGATAAGACGGAGGCCCTGTTATTTCATGGGCCCCGTCGTGGTCCACCCCCTGGCGCCTCCATCGTGGTCAACTCGGTCCTCGTACCGGTTCGGGCCCAGATGAAATATCTGGGCCTGATCCTCGACGGGAGGTGGCTCTTCGACGAGCACTTCCGACAGCTTGCTCCAAAGCTGGTCGGCGCTGCGTCTGCCCTAGGGCGACTTTTGCCCAATATGGGTGGACCCAGCGTCGCGACAAGACGGCTGTACACGGGGGTTGTCCGGTCAATGGCACTGTACGGTGCACCGGTGTGGGCGGCGGCTCTGACCGCCCAGAATAGGGTACGCCTCTGGCGCCCTCAGAGGGTAATGGCGGTCAGAGCCATACGCGGTTACCGCACCGTTTCGACGGAGGTGGCGTGCGCGTTGGCCGGCACTCCCCCGTGGGATTTGGAGGCGGAAGTGCTCGCCGAAGTTTATCGGCGAGTGGCTGACTACCGGGCGGAGAGCGGATTTCGCCCTCCGCCCGAGGATGTGCGCGAGTGGCGCGAAGCCGCTCGCCGAGCCACGATGGCTCGTTGGTCGTTCCGGCTGGAGACTCCACGCGCTGGCTTCGCCGCCGTGGAGGCTCTCCAGCCGGTCATCGCCGAGTGGGCAGGGCGGCAGCACGGGACCCTTTCCTTCCGACTGACGCAGGTGCTTTCCGGGCACGGTTGCTTCGGAAAGTACCTGCACACGGTCGCTGGGAGGGAACTGAGTCCCGCCTGCCACCACTGCGACTGCAGTGAGGACTCGGCCCAGCACACGCTGGCGGTCTGCCCCGCATGGGCGGCGCAGCGCCGGGCCCTCACTGCAGTCATCGGAGTGGATCTCTCGCTACCGGCCGTAGTACGCTCCATGGCCGGTAGCGACAGTTGTTTTACCGCGGTCGCAACCTTCTGCGAGGTAGTAATCTCGCGGAAGGAGGCGGCGGAAAGGGCCCGGGAGGACGACCTCCACTCGGACCCGATCCGCCGCCGGCGAACCGGGCGGCGGAGGCCCGCCTACCACAGCCTCATGCCGCCCTGAGTGTGGCCGCGGGTGGACGGGGTGGGTTTCCCCTCCACCCGCATTAGTTGGCCAGCCGCGAGGGGGCGGCGTCCGCGTGTGCCGGACGTCGCCTAAAGAGAGGAACATCTATATTGAGACGGAGCCCGCACCAGGAGCGGGCTGGCGCTAGGAGGGGTCCGGATGTCTTAACAACAGCTGTTCCCGGATCCCTCCTGTTACAAGCGCAGAGTGGCACACCGTGTGGTTTTAGTCGGTCCGAGTCCGACACACCACCCCGCCGCAAACCCCGGAGGGGTGACGGTCCGAGGGGATTTCCACACGTAAAAAAAAAAAAAAAAAAAAAAAAAAAAAAAAAAAAAAAAGGGTTTGTGTCAAGTTTTCCTTCTTTTGCAGTGCCGGTATCCTGCGTTGTTTTGCGCCCTTAAATATATTACTGATATGTATTTTTCAGGTTGCGGCAATGGTTACACACTTACAGAGCTCGCGAAGGAAGGTTTTACACAGCTGCTTGGTATTGATTACTGTGAGGAAGCTATATTGTTGGCCAAAAACGTGTCCCAAGCTGATTTTTCTCAAATCAGATACCAGGTAAACTCAAATTAGTTGAGTGTACCCTGCCTGGCCTGGGGGTGACAGGTGAGGCCATCTGTCACCCTAGCAGACGCAGGCCGGGGTGGCGGCGAGCGCGTTGCGAAGCGCGCTCGCTTCCAGGGAGCACAGGGAACATGGGGTTCGGGGGGGGGGGGCGTCTACTCGTCTGTAGATGACCCGAGGTATGTCGGGGTACCAGTACCAGGGACTTCCTTTCTAGGGTATACCTGGTTCCCCGGCTATTAGTACCCGAGACGGCGTGCGGTTTTAGTCGGTTCGAGTCCGACATGCCACCGACAGGTGGTATCCGAGGGGATTCAGAAAAAAATAATAAAAAAAGTGTACCCTGCCTGGTACTGACTGCACCGCTTCCTAGTCTGTGCTTAGTATTGGTTTAGATCCCCACATGTATGATCCATAAGTTGTTGTTCCGAGTCTGGGTGTTCTTTGTGTTTGTTTCCTAAATCTTTGTAAAGTCACTTGCGACGCAGATTATATTCCCAGTGTGGAAGTTGTCTTAAAAAAAGGCTATTTGTCTCTAGAAAGGGTTGAATAAAAAATATGTAAAAAAATACTGTAATTTCATTATAGGTATTCAATATCACAGAAGACAGCGTAGAAGAGTTGGGTAAATTTGGTATAGTACATGATAAAGGCACATACGATGCTATAGGACTGAACCCTGAAGACCCAAAGACACATAGGGAGAAATATATAGACCAGGTGACGCAATTATTGGATGATGATGGTGAGAAAGAGATAATTTAATTTTACTCTGTTTTTTTTTTTGTTTCAAGAGCAAACGAGCAGGTTGGTTACCTGATGGTAACTTGATTCCCCTTTGAGTTTTATGGGGGTTTCTTTTAAGCACCCTCACTCGGTCGCTGACAGTCCAAACTAGTGCTGACTCAAGTCACGACTCACCTGCAGATTGATTAGTCTTAGCAGACTGGAAATCAGAATGGTTGTCGGAACTATTACAGGACATCTAGCCCTGAACCGACAACTATTCATCATCAATGCGACGGACAGCCCTCTGTGCAGGGGATGTCTGGTAACAGAAACTGGAATGCGAGGGAGAGGCCACACAACGGGCAAGTATCGCTCCTAGAAGCCTGTGAACGCCCCAGGAGCGTTTTGCGCTTCTGGAAGGAGCTTGGTTGGCTCACCTAGCTAACCAGTCCTCGACGCATAAAGGACCACTCTTGAGTCTAAATGCGGAAACCGAAGCCCACAACCACCATCACCCTCACTCGGTGAAATGCGAATGAAAAAGAATTACTTTACAGCAGTACCGTACCATGGGTTTACTGCTATTACAAATGCGAAAGTTTCCATGGGTACTTCTTACTAATATTTATCCTGGAAATATTAATTGAAAAAAATCTACTTTAAATTGATTGGAGACCCAAAGTGCTGCAGGATATGTACCATTTGTTTACTGCTGCAATTTCTTTACATACAATTCCGCTCTCTAATTTTTTACGACACTCGAAAATAAACTTTAAAACTAATGCTATAAGGTGTATTTATGTTCTTTACATACAATTCCCCTCTCTAAGGGCAAGCGAAGACCGAGAGAAGCGCAGCGGAGAGGATTTTTTTTAGGACACTCGAAAATAAACTTTAAAACTAATGCTATAAGGTGCATTTATAATTGAACGTGATAAAAAAAGTCATTTTTTTGTGCGCGCTATGCAGACCGCGCCAGGATTATTTCTCTCCCTCTGCGCTGACCCTAAGTAGTTGGGAGGAGTACGTGGCTTTTATTTTAGCTGCCTTTGTTTCATCAGATTCATCAACAGCCTATACTAGTCCACTGCTGGACATAGGCCTCTTCTTAGAAAGGAGGTTTTGGCCTACTATACCACGCTGGCCAGACGGGTTGGTATAGGGTTTGTTTCAAGTTTTCCTTCTCTTTGCAGTGCTGTTGTCCTGCTTAGTTTGCTCCCTTAGTCGGCTCTTACGACACCCACGGGATGAATTGGGGTGGTGACAATTTGCATTCTTAATCCTTCACCACACCACACACACACCACAATTTGTATTCTTAATCAGATTACCGAGACCGATTTTGAAGATTTTTCTTTGCGTTTGTTCTCGCTTAAATTTAAAGAAGAAACCGTTTCTAAGATTAAAAATCAAAGAAGAATAGTATTATTCTAAATCATGATGAATTGTAATAAACTGTATAGTTTATTACAATTCAACGTGATTTGTTGAAGTTTGTGTTGTGTTTCGTCACAAATAGGCCAGGCTCCACCAGAGCGGTACCATGGCCTCACAGCAAACCGTGTTAAGCAGTTTTTTTTCTTTGCTATTCACCGACTGACTGATTCTTTCGGAGCTCATACTCTCCCCTCCCTCTGAATCTGGGGAGGCAAGAGGCCTTTGCAGGCGTTCATGGGTAGTCACTTTCCATAAAGAAAAAAATAGTCCCAGGTGTGATTATATGATTAACTAGCTGACCCGCGCAACTTCGTCTGCGTCTCTCAATAGTAATAAATTTTCTCCGTTTTTGAAACATTCTTCATTGGTGCTCCGCTCCTATTGGTCTTAGCGTGATGATATTTAGCCTATAGCCTTCCTCGATAAATGGGCTATCTAACACTGTAAGAATTTTTCAAATCGGACCAGTAGTTCCTGAGATTAGCGCGTTCAAACAAACAAACAAACAAACTCTTCAGCTTTATAATATTAGTATAGATAAAACATGTCTTATCACAGGTGATTGTGATTTTATTCCATCCCTAATCGCCTTTATTTTACAGGTATGTTTATAATAACTTCATGTAATTGGACCGAAGACGAATTAATAAAACATTTCTCTGAAAAAATGAAGTTAAAACGCGTTATACCGACGCCACAGTTCAAATTTGGCGGGAAAGTTGGCAGCGTCGTGTCTTCCGTTGTGTTTATTAAAAAATAAATGTTACAAAATAACTGTCTTATTTTATTTCGTTAATTAATATTACGTTGAAAAGATTGAATAAAAGAGGGGCATGATAGTCTAGCTAGTGGGTATCTTGACTGCTAAGTCAGAGGTCGTTAGTTCGATTCCTACCCAGGACAAATAATTGTGTGATAAGCATCCACAACAAGACACAGGTCTGTGCGTTCACCGCAAAGAAGATACCATTTGTCGTATCACCTCGGTTTGAGAACACCTCCCTAACTGCTTCAGCCAGCATCGGAATCCTAGGTATCGACATATCGAGCGAAGTCCAGTTTCGGGGTCACTTAGAGGGAAAGGTCAAATTGGCCTCGAAAAAGCTCGCTGTGCTGAACAGATCGAGGCAGTATTTCACTCCGGCCCATCGCCTTCAGCTCTATAAGGCGCAAGTCCGGCCGCATATGGAATACTGTTCTCATCTCTATGCAGGGGCACCTCAATACCAGTTTCTCCCTCTCCATCCAACGAAGAGCGACTCGAATCGTCGATAGCCCAAACATCTCCGATCGGCTCGATCCCTTGGTGTTACTTAAAGATGTGGCTTAACTCTGCGTTCTCTATTGCATACCTATATCATGCTAAGTGCTCCGAGGAATTTCTCGGACTAATACCAGCCGCAAATTTCCGCCCTCGTTCCACACGGCAAAATTTTCATCCTCATTACTTGGATAGTTGGCGCTCCACTACTGTACGCTTTTCGAGGAAAGTAAAAAGAACGTAAAAAATTACGTAAACCTACGAGTTTATATTTTATTTATTGCTAATTACTAATAAGCATGTTAATAAAAAACGTTTTTTCATTAACATGGTGTTCTCAGATCACGACCTTTAACATGAGACACTAGAAACTTGACCCATCTTTATAAACTTGCGCGCTATACAATTTTACCACTGATTAGATTTGCAATTAAATTGGGTCACAATCTGATTGTGCATCTGCAGCACATAACTAAATCCTTTCATTTTTTCTGGACGGTCTGTAACTGGAAAAGTCTGCCTATTTGAAAGTTTTTGATTTTGAAGACCTACCTAACTGTCATCATCGGCTTATCGCCGTACACTACTGTTTTGGGCAGTCCGCATTGATCCGCTGTCAGCCACTTTCCTTAAATCATCGGTCATTCGTGCCGCCTATTTGTATAAAATCTGATCTTATTAATATAAATACTCAACTGATGAAACGTATTAATAACGCAATTGTAAACTAAAATTGGAACATACACCATGCAAGCAGATTAATCTATCTCTATATAAATAATAATCAATGTTTGTATGTTTGTCCCTTTCGAAACCATTGATCAAACTTTTGTAGGGTGCTCTAGAGTTGCCCACGAAAGTTCCTGGCTCAAAACGCACGTTGGGTATAGCTAGTATATTTATAAAATCTGGTCATTAGCACAAAAGAGATAAGCCGATACGTCCTTCAAGAAAAGAACGTACTCCTTCCTTGTTGCCTTGTTGAGTTGCAGGCGTTCATGGGCGGCGGTAGACACTTTACATCAGGTGACCCGTCTGCTAGTTTGCCTCCTATTCCATAAAAAAAAAACATATTCTGTTTGAAGTCCTCCATGCCTTCATGTCTGAGGACCATGGTCAGCATCAGGGTTGTATATAAAGCAAAATGTGCCCACGACCTTAGAAGAAGATAGCGTTAGAAAATACCTACTCCTGACACGATTTGATTGAAAATCTAGTCAAGTTGTGTGTGTTAAATTGTGTCGTGTGTTCATCCGTTTAAGATTTGTAATAGTAATAACACAAGTACACAACAAATAGAAAATGTGGTTGGCCTTGTAACGTTGCATTGTGTATTTCTATTCGTAAATGGTATTTTAACATCTATGTGTTAATGAAAAAATAACTGTGACTTTTTTAGTTTGTAACTAACTCAACCGTTGTGTAAGAAATTTAACGTCATAAGTATAAGAGAATAGAATAAAATAGAATATGCTTTATTGTACACCAATTACAGTAAGTTGGTTAAATATTACAGATGAATATGTACAATGGGCGGCCTTATTGCTAATAGCAATCTCTTACAGGCAACCTTTGGATGGACAAATCGACAGTAGATAAGAAGAAACAGTGGGTAGTTTAGGTGTATTGAAGCTAACGTAGTGTAAAAATAAATAAATATACATTATATAATTATACATAAATACATATATATACAATATAAGTATAAACAATTTATATTGATAACCATGAAAACATTAGTGTACCATGAACTATAAATTCAAGTAGTGAACTTTGACCATATTTTTAAATGCCGTCAGTGTTCGGGCACTTCTTATAGATATCGGCAAGGCGTTCCATAATCTGACAGCCTGCACCGTGAAAGATTTGTCATAGAATATGGTAGCGTGGCTAGGTACCATTAGCTCCAAAGATTCCAACGACCTTAAGGATCTCAGATGTGTGTCACTGAGGAACACAAAACGTTCCTTTAAGTAAGGAGAGGTTAATGGATTGAATGAAATACTATAAAGTATAGAAAGCATATGTGTATTCCGTCCAAGTCGAATTGGGAGCCATTTGAGTAATTTATGACATTGAGTCACATGATCATATTTGCGTAAACCTAATATAAATCTAATGCAGAAGTTTTGAAGGCGCTCAAGTTTATCAATTTGCTCCTCACTGATATCGAGACATCTGACATCAGCGTAATCGAGTATAGGGAGAAGCAGGGATTCAGCTAGCGCAATTTTAGTGACCGTTGGTAGGAAGTTAAGAAGTCTTCGCAGTGAGCCCGCCGATGCAAACATTTTCCTACTAACTTCGCGTAGTTGAGGGCCCCAGGGTAAAGTACTATCAATCATAATTCCTAGGTACAACAAACAAATAACACAAGCACTGATTGAAAGTACAACCCCATCAAATTTGATGTCAGGTAAATCAGACCAGTCGATTTTAGAGTGTATCCTGGGACTGCCTACAACAACACTGACATATTTTATAAAAGTTTTAATGTCTTCAAAATTTTGCAGCAAAGCTTTTGATGTAATTTGGTCAACCAAAAAAAATTCTGTTACTTCATCTGTTATCCCGCTATTTTTAAATCTGTAAATTGGTTACATAAATGGATACCATATTGATCTGCATTTCAACTCGATGAAGCAAAATACAGAGTTGTATGCCGTATATAATGTGACAGTTATTTTTTATTATATTTGTATTGCGTACGGAGTTGTAAACAGCGACACCTATTGCCCCGCGTCGCATTTATTGATTTATCCAAAGTAGATTGTAACTATAGTATTGATGTTCTTCGTCCACCACCGGACCACTAGATGGCGTTGTTTTATTGGTAAGTCATAGTAAGAATTTATCCTGTTTTTTTTTTCCGTGCGGAAATCCCCTCGGATACCACCTGTCGGTGGCATGTCGGACTCGAACCGACTAAAACCGCACGCCGTCGCCGGGTACTAATAGCCGGGGAACCAGGTATACCCTAGAAAGGAAGTCCCTGGTGCCCCGACATACCTCGGGTCATCTACAGACGAGTAGACGACCCCCCCCCCCTCCCCCCCGAGTAAGAATTTATCCTGACAAATAGTATTGGTGTTAAAAGTGTCCTGTTATGGTAGGAAGCGAGTTACTTTTGATTTGGTTCGTGTTAACCTCGTTGATAATTTGAATGTCAATTTAAAATGTTAAAGAAGGGATTCTTTCTAGAAAGTTCACAAACCGAGCATATATAAGTCCGGCTTTCAGCCACAAGGGACACTCTGCTAATTCTTGTCTTCCAATCTTAAATAGTATTTTGTTTGTCTGGTAATTTCATTGTAGTAATTTTTTTAATATTTTCTTTGTTCTAAGTACCCACGCCAGTGGTAAGTTATTCTGAATTTTCTTAACCTGAACGAACGAACCTGAACGATTATATGAGTGCTAATCCATTCGTAGGGCTCCAGATTTCGGGTCAAGACAATCAGTCTCAGACGGCGTGCTATTTTCGTTTGTGGCCTTCTGGTGCGAAATCGAGTTTCTCAGTACCCTCTGGTAAACCGGCAGTCACGCGGCTCACCAAGCAAGCGGACAGCCTTATTCAAGGGTTAAGTACGTACTTCTTGTTAATGTTATTAATATAAATATTGAACCTTCCATTATACCTAATATAAATAGCCGACTCGGGCGGGTGTGGAAGTGACCTGCTGGATTGATGACAAGGAGGCTCCGAGCAGCATCAGCTCGGCCTTGACGCGCGCCGCTGCGGGCTTTTTTTATATACCCACTAATTTATGTTTTTTTATTATTGTAACTTTGAATTGATTGGAAATATACATGTATGTATGACTGAGGTGTAAGTTGTCTTTTTCTGAGGAGTCCCTTAGGTTGCCCACACGCACACCCTTCTGTTTTCGACAATGGCGCCCTGAGGTAATCTCGTAAATCTCTCCGCTGGGTAAGCCGGTGAGTAGTCCGCCTGACACGAAAAGCGGCTACAATAATTCTTCATCTGCTGTCTGTTTCTGTACCTACTAGGTTTTCAATGTAGTTGCATTTTGAATGTGTCTTACCTCACGACTCCCGTCATATAATAACAGATCTTGAAAATCCTTTTTTTATTTGCAAGGGTATATTCAATTTTAAAGAAAATTGAATATCTGAAGGTAGGATATTAAGGAAATTACAGTTTATTACAATTCTTTGAAGTCGGTGATATTTTTTAAAAAGATTATTATCAATATTTAAAGGTTAGGGAAATAAATCCGTTTAGTAGCGGAGTAAGAAAACTTTGATCCAATTTATTTTTTTGTACGATGTTCCTTATCGTGCGTTATACACTCTGAGCGGATGGGAGCGAGACCGAAAAATGTGTAACAAGACTTTTTTCCGATACTTCAGTTGGCGCGTCGACGCCCACATCTTTTTCACATTTCATTTATCGATATCTTAATTTACAATACGGTCAACTCCGTATGAGTAAATTTTACAGGAGACACTAAAAACTTATTTATTTCAAAATTATGCTGAATTTGTGGAATCTGATGATCCCGTTGGTGCAAAATAAGTACTCTTTCCTAAAAGGCCGGCAACGCGTTTGTGAAGCCTGAGTTACAGACCTTCATGGGCGGCGATAGTCACTTTCCATCAGGGGACCCGTCTGCTCGTCTGCCCCCTTTAAAATAAAAAAAAAACTAATTATGTAGTATGTGGGTCACCGCTTTGCTATCTCGGCACAGCACACCAGCGACTAACATACGTATAATGCACGCTGCTGGATCTCATAGGAAGCTGTTTCAGATCTCCATAACCCAAGCACTAGGCGATATCGAAGTGCTGTAGAAATACTGTAATTGAAATTTTTAAGAGTCCAACTACCCATAATGATTGCCACAGATATTCGTATGCCAATAGAATGGTCAGACTGACCTAGCTAAGATTGCTGGACTTTGAAGGTGTTATGCAAAATGACTTCATGTCTATGTTACCTAGTGTGTGTTAGCTATAGGATTACCAAAAAAAAAAATTAAGCAACTTTAGTTTTAAATAATTTAATCAATTACACAGTAATATGTTTAACAGAGTGTTTAATACTATACATAGTGACGTAATGCATTTATTCGAATAAAATAATTTTTATTCATATATAATAACTATTATATACACTATCAATTAAAAAACCAATGAGACCCAAAAATTCTTAACACTAATGTCACGGTTTGTTAAATAATATAGGAATGTAATACGAATGTTTTAATATTTCTTCAAATATAAAGGACATATTTTTAATTCTTAACAGATTTTTTTTTAAATTTAGAAGTACTAGACTTATAACCAATAGAAACTTTCAAGTTTCCCGTAATGTAACACTCAAAATTTCATTGCATTCCACAAACACTAGAAATAACCGATGTGAAGATTGTGGAATGCGTTTTTTTATATACAAAGTTCATTGATTTTCTTAACACTTATACTGATCTATATGTAAAAACAAATTTTAGGCTTTCCGCAAATCTATAACTTCTATACAGCATCCAATTTTGTCTGTGATAAATGAAGTGTGAAAGTGGCACAACAATTCTCTATTATCTATGTGATGCTTATATACAGCTTGTTTTAAATCTAACAAAATGCAATATTAACAGGCATAATAGTAACTTACAAGAGATTTTTGGTTTGATAATGGCGACCAAAATGAATTAAATGTCTTTTAAAATAGAGGTAATTAGCTGTGTAAACCTCCACAATGCCTCGTGTGGAGGCAAAAGTCGGTTCGAAAATCTTCTACCATGCAGCGTTTTTGCTCGGATAAATGAATCATTGATATGTGTATCTATAAAAAACAATCATTTAAGGCTACAGCATTTTATATGCCTTCTAAATAAACATGATCTTCATTTAAATAAGTGATGTGCCATCTATTTTTATCATTACAATAATTGAATAAACCAATTTTTTCATTAACACTACTCACAACAAGGTAATTATTGATAAACACACCAAATGCATGAAAATGTATAGAAATATACTTAATGTACAAGCCAATAATTTAATTTGAGAAATATACATACATACACACATGTACATAGATACAATTAAAAAAAAAAAACATTCTTAAGGTCAATTTTGGTAAAAAAAGTTCAGTCACAATTCAATTCCAATCAACTTTCGATCTTACAGTCATAAAAGGTATTTTCGTAGTAAAAATGTAAAGTTTTACTAAAACTAGCAGCTTACAGATTAAATTTTCGGTTACAATACAATATAATCACATTACAGTCAACGTTGGATGTTTAATACTTTACTACGAAAATATCTTTTATGACAGTTGTGAGATCGAAAGTTGATCGGCATTAAATTGAGACCAAACTTTTTTACGAAAATGGCCTTCTGATGCAGTTGGGTAAAACATTTTTTGAGCCTAGAATTCAAAACTAGAATCTATGAGCTCCTTGAGTTTTGTGAGTAGTACATATTAATTTTATTAAGACTAAATCCACATCCAAAGTCCAAAGACATTTACACAATGTCCACATTAATGTATATTCACTTACATACACTCAACACTAAGAGTGCAGTGCACACACATAGTTCAAAGCACAAACAAAATTTTAAATGAACAACGACACCCAGACACCCATTATTGAAAACCGTAGTAACTCCAATATAAATTAAATTATATTTTTTCCCAATAATAATAAAACCCATTTCTAATAGTTTCTACCACAGAACTGAGAATATCCCTACTAACTAAATACTACAGATGCGAAAGTAACTGTCCGTCTGTTACACTTTCACGGCTAAACTGATGAACCGTTTTTAATGAAATTTGTCATGTAGATAATTTGATTCTTGAGGAAGAACATAAGCTACCTTATGAGCTATGGGAAATGCTAGTGTACTATTATGAAGTACATATGAGCCTGTGCAACAAGAGTGAACTCATTGCTTCACAGCGAATCAGTGTTAAGCTATTGCTTCGTTGGTTTCACCCGTACATCATTTTTATTCTCAATTCTGTGTTCTCTACAGTACCCCATATATAAATTGTCCAGTTCAAATGATTTTATGAAGAAAATACAACAAAAAATAAACTTCTAGTATCTGTTCTAAGAATATTATGTATCCTTAGTACTACGAGAATACCTTTTATGCATCAAAAGTTCAGGTCAGAACTGAATTTTCAAAGAATTTGTATTAACAAGGTTATTTGTATAAGATTCAAACCTCCTTTCTAAGGAGAGGCTTATGTCCAGCAGTGGACTATTAAAGGCTGTTGATGACGATGATGATGATTTGTATAAGAATCTTCATAAAATCAGTTTGAAATAAATGTTTACCCCAACTATTCAAAAAATAATACACTTATTTTACATGCTACTTGATAATACATTACATACAAAATAATATTATTGAATAATATGCAAGCAAATATAATCATTACAATGTCTATTTGCACTGTGGTATCGAGGACCACGAGGTCCATGGGCTACAAACGTTCACAATACTTCCCTTCATCACTGACATTGACATAGACAAGGTACCCGACAACAGCAACGAAGACTGTTAACGATAACGTTAAGAACTGCAACCATTTCAGCTTCTGAACATCGCTGTGCAGAATCGCATAGTTCATTTCTAAGTCAGACAATGTATTCCCAATTACGTCAGCTTTTTCTGTAGATTTTCCATCAGTGATATTTCCATTCTTTGGTATATTATTCTCTGGGAATTGACATTTGAGACGGTATTCATCTGTTTTGCTTCCGGTTGACGTTTGCCAGATTTCAGATAGCTCTTTTGGTGTTACATCTGTCTTTGGTATTTGAATTGACATCACAAGGAATCTGTCCTTTGAAACAGTACGTAATTGTATACCAGGTTGGACAACAATTAATACCGTTTGTGATGATCCACTTGCTAGGGAACCAGAGCTAGGTCTAACTCGGAACTTTTCCGGTGCAGTTGTTCTTATTTTGAACGAAATGGCACTCTCGTCCATATTAGTAATGGTAAATTGACCTGATATTTCATCATTGTCATTTTTGAAAACAATTGTATCATTCGGTACTAAACGTAACATCTCACCAGGTGAATGTTGTCCATCCCCTTGTTCAGCAAACGTAACTTTTTTAGAAATAGTCTGTTCCGTCGTGTTTGTTCTAACTTCGGGAATAAACTCAAATACATAGTTGTCCTTCCCTCCCCAAACCACCAAAGCCTGCTCCGGTGCCACCACATCTTTTAGAGTTTCTTTGCTGACAAATTTCATTTTTTCAACAGCCTGAGCTGGTAACAGTGTCCTTACGACTTTGAATGCTGCCGATAGGACCCAAGGCATATGATATATGACTATATAATTAAGGAAATATGGATAATACAGTTTAAACAGTGTGATTAAATATTTCACAAGCTCCATGTCCATGTTACCCAAGCCACTTCCTTCCATATCAAAAAACATAGTAATTTTCTTACCATTTTCTTCACGTTCAACACGATCAAACCAGTAAATCATGATTTTCTTCAACTCCTCAAAGTCCCTTTGCCCTTTGACATGCATTTTGGCTTTGAAAATAAGCAGGAGACAGCCATCGACGTCTCTTCCTCTAGGAAAAAAGATTCCTTCTCGAACAAAATCAATTCTTATATTACTCTCATTAATGTCGCTTGCGCCAACAGATTTCCTCCATGTCAAGATGTCCCACAGCATATTCGCAGCATTCTTGGCGTCTTTTTCTTGATGCGTGAGCAGTCTTTTAAGATATTTCTCATCCTTAGTTCTTTCCAAATCCGATGGATGAAATTCCGGGGGTATAGCACTATCCTTTAATCTCGCCTCGAATAATGCACGAACGTCCGCCGGCGTCGCCATTTTATTGAAATATTTATATCATAGGTTGATAAGGAAGTTACAGATTATAGGTTTGAGTATTGCTAACTATATCAACATACGGAAATCACTAGCAAAGAGCGAATGAATAGGAAGCCACTTATTTTTTACGAAATGTCATCGGAATCGGAGGTCGAGGTCCACTACGGAATACGGAACGGACGGACGGCGGACGGAATGAATTGCGGGTTAATTAACTAAATAATTATATTATCTAGGTAGTATCAACCTTAACAATATTTGTTTAATATAATAACTAATTAGTTTTGTGCTATAAGAAATGTTTAAATATTGAAAATAATTCTACAAATTTAGAGGAATTATCCAAGAGTTTTTATGTAGTCTGCTTAAAATGGAACTTGAATGACATTTTTTGTGAAGTTGCCGATACAAAAAATGTCCTTGAATGGTAAATATTTATTGAAGGACTACACAATATGAGCAATTCTCAAAATAATGCTGAATGATTATTGTAGTGTTGTCCCATAAATTGACTTAATTTTTTTAAATGGTAGCAAAATATTATGTTCAAGATAATAATTAAATAAATAAAATCACTGAATTACTGTTTACATTCCTGCTTTCATTCTTATGACAAATTGATAATTTATGAAAAAAACAAAAAAAGATAAACTATTGAGTGTGCAAATGTATGGAGAGTGATGTGTCCCATTTAGCAGTGTATGACTTTCCATAAGCTTTATTTTTAAATATTATGGGCTGGCATTAAATTTTTTGGTGCTATTTTACGCTGTTACTATCAATTTATCCCTCGAATATACAATTTTGCGAAAAACAATGCATATTTTAAAAATAAATATATTTTATAACATGTCTTCAAAAAGTTCCTTATGAAGTTTCTTATTTTGTTACGTGGTTTATGGAAAATATTTAAAAACAAGTTAGTAGATTATGGTTTTCTGTGCACTCTTAACGTTTGAGAAGAACGTAAAGCTAAAAGTAGCATTGCCACTTGTCAAATTCATTTGAAAATATCGTTTCATTGTGTGGTGCTCGCCGGATTCACAATTTTCTTCTTGTTTTGTAACTGTATTAACAAGGGTAAGTTTATAATTTTTAATGTTTATAGTATTAAGAATAGATAATTGTTTAATAAATTTTTGATATCTTATTACATACAGTCGATTTTATCAGATTTTATTGTAGAAATACATGAAATGAAACTTATGGTCTATGTTCGTTACTCCCTCTTTGGTTACTTTTGCGTGGTTATGTATAAGAAGAATATGAAGTAACAAAATAGGAATACGTAAGGCAGAGTCTACATTGCATTTTTACCCAACTATGGCACAATATAAGGGAGGGCATTATTTTTTACTTTATGTCTATAAGTATGTAGTTCTTTTGGTAACCGACTTCAAAAAAGGAGGTTCTCAGTTTGACCTGTATGTTTGTACGTATGTACGTATATATGGTTGTCCGCGATTTTCTCAAAAACTACTGATTCTATTTGGGTTGGGTTTTCACCATTGGTTTCGTGTGTTTAAGTGGGTCGTAGATGGCTTAGATTAACAATTACACCCAGTAAGTAGGTGGCACTTCAATCGGGTTCTAGGGTTATATTCTATTTTACGATTTTTTGTTGTGGTTTTGAGTGTGGTTTCCTGAATTCCCCTGATAAAAAACCCTCGCTGAGTTTCTTCTCAGCTGAGCTGTTTTTGAGGTCACAATAGATTTCAGTTTTAAGTTGACGTGATTGCCTAGGAATCTTCATGATATTAAAGAAAGCTTGAATTTTAATGGTTGAGATTGTACCCGGCGCTGCCAATCGGGTGCACAAGACAACGTCTGTCGAGACAGAGCTGTCTATTCATAAATAATTCAGTAGTTCCTTTCAATAAATATTCAAATTATTTTACTAAATGTTGTTAATTAATATTAATATTCTATTTATACTATTTTTTTTCTTTTAAATCACATTTCTAATTTCTGTGCATCTACCATTTTTTTTTAAACTCTGCATCGCCCTAAGGTCGACTGGTAGAAAATGCCTACGCCTATTTTTTTGACTTAAACGTAGTTAGGTATTTACTAAAAACCATCGTTATTAGCTAGTTTTAAATGTAAAAGTAATTGTTTGCAGTTAATTCAAGAATGCCATTAACAAACGCAGAAAAGCAGAGACGCTATAGAGAGCGCCTTAAACAAGATCCAGAAAAATTTTATAACTACAGAAAAAAAAATTTAGAGAGAAAAAGGAGAATGAAGAAGAAGAAGAATGAAGAGTTTATTGGATAATTATATGTTTGGTGCCCTAATTGTGATTTTTTCTTATATGATCATTACACTCCAGACGAGCGTGAGATTTGCAATGCGTAATTTTTATAATAATTTCATAAATATTACTAAATAATGCTTAAGTTTATTTGATATACCATTTGTGATTTAGACATACTTACCTATAAGGATTTTTGATTTATTTACTTTAGAATAAGTATAATTATATTTTTTAATAGTACTACTGTACTAATGAATACTTTCAACGACAGTTCTTTTAAAATGCTGTACTCGAACCAAATTCGTAATTTCTAAGATAGCTAATTAACATCATTCTCAATCTTAAGTTCGAATTATGTTAAATAAAAAAAATATTTTGAATTGTATTGTATACTCAGCCTTATAAGTTCTTGTTTTGTTACCAAAGTTCCTAATTTGTTACTGTCCTAATTGAGATGATTGATTTTTCTCTTAATATTTAAAATTTAACATTTTTTTATAATAATTAAGAATGTTATAGCATAGAATGTTGATTTATTTTGTAATTTTAATTAAAAAATGACTGAGATTCTGCCTGTGAACTTAATAATTTAAAATGTTTTCCAAGCAGGTGTTCCAAAGGTAACGAAATGGACAAAATGTTGTCTATTTCTTCTAAAGTATTGATCTTATAATTAAAGTTTTCTGTTTTCTGTCTGTGTTTTCATTTAAAGTATTTAAAATTTATTAAAAAGATTTGCAATCTTTTACGTGTTTTCATTTTTAACGAATTTTATTCGGTAACGTAATAAGAACATTTTTAGACCATTGCCTTCAAAACTTATATTTTTTTTCAAGAAATATTAAATAAAAAAGGTAGTTTTATAAAAAATAATAAAATTTGATTATATCTTTATTAATTGGAAACATTAACAAGCAGGGTACTGTCTTTTTTTTTTTAAAGTCAAAATAAAAATTATTCAGCATTATTTTGAGAATTGCTCATATATCATTATTACGTTATAAATTGTTTTGTGTTACAAGGCTAAAATCTTCTCTTCCCAGAATTTTATGAGTAAAAACCGGTAAAACCGTGTGTTAGTGCACCGTGTGGTGACGGATTAAGAATACAAATTGTCACCACCCCAATTCATCCCGTGGGTGTCGTAAGAGCCGACTAAGGGAGCAAACTAAGCAGGACAACAGCACTGCAAAGAGAAGGAAAACTTGAAACAAACCCTATACCAACCCGTCTGGCCAGCGTGGTATAGTAGGCCAAAACCTCCTTTCTAAGGAGAGGCCTATGTCCAGCAGTGGACTAGTATAGGCTGTTGATGTGATGATGTGATGTGTGCACTCTGGGTAAATATTCTGATTTCTCCTAATCTATACTTATTTAAAACTAGCTGGTATCCGCGACTTCGTTAGCGTGGCATTTGAAAAGTGCTGCTTTAGTGGGTTCGATTCAGGGCAATTTTATAGTGTTTTTCTAAGAGGGAAAATAGCCCAAGTTACTCTCTATATAGACAGCAACATGGTAGAAAAACATTATCAAAATCGGTCCAGCCCTGGTAGAAGATTACGAAACCGACAGACAAAAAAAACTGGTTTTTAGGCATAGGTATCATGCAAATAACCGTGTGAGCATGAAAAAAACCTATTATTTTGACATTACAATAGACACTTTAATTTTATTTATTTGTATAGATTCTTACAAGTGTAACTATCCAGAACCAAAAATGAGTATGCAAGGTACCTATTTTGATAGAATTTTCAACGAAATCATTCATTGTTGTTTTAATGATCGCACCTCTCCTCAAATAACGTCACTAAGTTTAAAAAAAGATCGAAATAATTTTTAGCAAATTATAAGCAGATGTCGAGCTAATTTTGTAGCTTTACGCAAGCTTCGAACTTATTCTCTAACCTTCAGCAATAGTTTTGTTTTTAAAGATCAATTTTGGCAAAGCGTCGTAAATAAAGATTAAAAAATATATATTAAAAACCAATACACACATTGACACAACGACAATAGGTTGTTTGTTTAAATTTAAAATGTAATAATGTTTTACCCAGTTAATTTCTTTTAAAGTAATCTTTGTTTGTCAAGACTTATAAGATTGGATACGTAAAGAGATAGGCCTAGTACATTATATTGAGTCCAATTAATGCCACGAATGCCCCAGAATTAGAGTAAACCAACATTTTAAATGTAGTTTGGTTATTGACAGTGTGAAAAACAATTTAAGTTTGGAATTTTATGAAGAATTCTAAAAATGAAGTCTAAGAATGAAGTTTTGGCCTACAAGAATTGTAGGTATTTTATATTTAGCTTAACAGGACTGAGTGTAAATGGAATAACATTATGCTTGCATGCAAAATGTGTGATATGTTGATGAGAACTTACAGAGAGTAGTGAAAACCACAAGGGAAGCTCGTATAATCAAAAACCTTATAACACAATAAACAAAGTAAACGAAAGTAAGATATGAATGTTATAGTTTTTGATAGAATACGTATATTTATTATAATAAACTAGCTGTACTCTGCCACGCTTCACTGTGGCACATTGTAATTGCATTGATGAGAAATGAGGAACAACAGAAAAATAAGAAAAAACATCTTTAAAATGGTTTGTACACCGTGTGTCTTGCTTACTTTTATAGACCTCCCTAAAAAAGGAGGAGGTTATCAATTCGTATATTTAGATTTTTTATTTATGTATGTTCGGGCATAACTCCGTCATATATATAGGCGGATTTTTA